GTTGTACTGTAATATGTATGTCAACTGTCATGTTACATGTGATGTTTATGATCTATTTCCTGAAATAAACATTATTATTATTAAATGGAAGATCAACCGTCTCTAAAGTTGATTGCTATTTTCTCTTTATCTTTTACACGTATCTGAGACTTATCCTTTTACCCTGAGATGCACCCTCTGTTTCTACCTCAGTTGTGTCACAACAGAGCCCAAACTAACATTCCTGATTATTAGCTGTGTTTGCTTTGTTACATGTGTCAACATTCATAACATCCTGACATGAACTCAGGATAACGATTGTGTTATCAAAAAATAATAATCAATTTTTCACTAAAATATTTAAGGATGACCTGTTTCATAAAAATCATCCTCTAAAAGCCTCTTTAAGTGTTTTATTAGCTAACGAAACGCGTTTAAACATTCAAACAGTCACATCACACGAGCTGAACAATGTTATTAGTACCAAAGTCTCAATCTTGTTATATTTGTAATAGGATTATGCCTATTTATCGATAGTAGTGGAATGTTTGATGTACAAAATAGTTTACAAAAAACTGTCTGTCAATGGTAAAGAGTATCGCTACAAACACTTAAGGTACCATGTCATCAAATTTGTTTATGAACGAGGTACTCTGTGGTAAAAGAGTAAATATGCTGCTTCACTTGATTGACAAGAAGGATCCGAAGTAACCCTGACGTTGGCATCACTGCAGTTGTACCATGTCTCCGTGGTATTACCACACACTTTGACGCACGCCGTGTAATGTCCACCGTGAATGCTTCCTCCATGGTTAACCACACCGTACAGGCAGTATCGCTTAGGGCTTTGACTTGATTCCTGTTAAACAATGCACAGATACTAAATGACAATGATAAACGTCAATAGTCTATAACTGATATGTCCTTTCCTCTATAATCAATGCAACACATCGCATTCCAATCATTTTGAATAACAATCATTTGATGTTACAATTGCACTTATTGTGTTTTTATGAACAATGTCTATTTTTATGTACATTTAAACCATGATGACTTATGAAGTTATGATGATTTACATAACTTTACATGCACGAGATAGTAAACAAAACTGATTACAGTTTCAATTATAATATTCTGGGTATAGAGAAACAAAATGAAATGTCGTGTTGATATTTGCAAGAGATATTTTTTAAAATGAGCGATTTTATTTTGGACAGGTTTATGCCTTGTTTATCAATTATTACCAGTATCAAGTGTCCAATGTGCAATGACATCAATTTAAGGGGGGAAATATGATTAATTAGCCTTTTCATCTACATTAGTTACGCTTTCGGTAACTTGGACCAGGGTTAAATACGGACACAAAAATGACTTGTGAATTGATAGAAAATGTTGATGCAATGAAAATGCCGACATCAGTGAGACAGATAGAAGACAAACGTCGATTTGAAAGGTAAAAGTGGCTATGGTTAGTTATATCTATTTGAACAGACCAACAGTTTTAGGTAAGTTAGATTTGTAGAGATATTAACTTTTTGAAAAGAAAACGAAACGTCAACCCGACAAGTCATTGTGATCTGATAACAAAAAAGGTTACATAATTACAGTTAATACTAATCTTATACATTTCTCAATGAAGATGATGCTTTATCTTACATAATATTCCATATTGATGCTAGTCTCATGTATAATCGAATAAATCATATATACTTTCAGTTTTTGAGTTAAATACCTCATCCATTTCTATTTCCCTTGCAAACGTGATGTTGGTTGTCTTCTTCTGTATTTTGGTAGATGTGGACATTTTGCGCTAAAAATAAAACGTCACCATTATTATAGTTATATATGTTTATGTTGTATATGGTATTAATTCACTTCATCCAAAACACACTTTTCTATCAACTGAATAGTTTCAGGATCACTATTTTGTCACTAACACTTAGACATGATTTTGGTGCATCAAAGGTCATTAACAAATTTACAGCTTTATGAAAATTATAGTCGTGTTATTATCACTCATCTAATATTACCTCTTCGAATCTCCCCATTTGAAAAACCAATATCTCCGGGAGCGTTGCAAATAACATCCTTTTCGTTGTCACAGTTTTATCTGAAGATATGAATTGAGAGTTCGGCATTAATTCACATTTATAAAGCGTACCAAATCTCAACATGGAAACATTGACAAACCGTGGTACTTCTCGTTCACACTATTGTTTTCCCGCTGAACAAAGTGACAAGAAAGCAAACAAAAGAAAACCGAAATGCAAACAAAGTCGAACTCACCATCGATGAAATTAGGAAAAATATACACAAAGAAAACATTTACACAGAAACTCTTGGAAAATTACAAGGAGAAGCAGACTAGGTGTTCCAGAAGGATAAGCATCTTCTTCATTGATAACACCCACCATGTTAATTCAGGTCTGATCTTAAAATTATGTCACAGCGTCAATGTGGAAACCGTTGAATTAACAATCAAACTGAAAGAACGTTTTAAGCAAAATAAAGAGACATTGATTGTGACCATCAACCTGCCCTAGTCTTCACCAAAAACAACAAACATCGATCCCTTGAGCTTGCCATAAATCATCATATGGACATTTGATCAATAGAAGGTTTTTTTTCATTTCATAAACATCTCCCCGCTAAAATCATAATACCAATAATATGCTACGTACAAAATTTCACATAAGTGTATGTTAAGCACTGTTGGAATATATCTTTTAAAGTCATAATCATTCGTGTACGCTATAATAAGAACGTTGAATGTGGTAAAATTACGCGTCAAAAATTCTATCATAAACTAGATTATTCAACTTACTAGAACGTTTGAATACTTTTATAAATACAGTCATACCACTGATGTGATTGGGATTATCTTTAAATGACTAATATCATTTTGTGATTTATTTCACATGCTTGAAATAACAAGATTCATGTCATACCTTTGCCCATCGTACATTCTCCAGAACACGAGCGACAAGAAATTAAGTTTCTTCGATAGAGTTCCTCTTTACAAAATTCTTGTATACATCCTTGTAGATTCTGTAATCCAAATGAGTTTTCAGTGTTTTATTGTTATTAAATTTATTACAGATGTAAACAATAGCCTCATCTGTCCTAAATATGAGAAATTGCACTGTAGAAGAAGACTAATTTCCTTTAATTATTAGGCTTTGTTACAACATGGTCAGTGACAGACAGTTTCATTTAAATTATTTGATATATTATTAACTTTATTAACCCTTACAAATGTAATCTAGATATTACTGTAAACGGACTCCCGGAAGTTAACTAAAATCCAAAAGTTTGCAACCAAAATGTCTACATTCTTTAGGCGTTATTGCAATATGGTCAGTGACAAACGATAGTATAGCCATTATTGATACATTATTAACCAAAATTATCAAATTGAAATTGTTCGCATAGCTGACTGCTTCATGTGAGAAAGGATAAGGCCACTGCCACCGATAACAATTGCTTATTAACCACGAACATATTTTTCTGTTATTAAAGCGTATCGTATTATTAAACGACGATTAAGAGATGCTTATTTTGAATGATACCTTTTGCTCAGTAATTGGCATCACTAGACTGGTAAACAATTGTTCTGTATCTTCTTCCTAAATGTAAATAGTTTGTGTTATATTTCCATAGAATGTTTAACTTAAGGAATAAACCTGTGACAATGCCTCTTAACATTTATTTGTAAAACAAGAAATCTAATAAAGCAAACATGTTTATACTGTTGTTATAGTGTATCAGAAACATAATGGTTAACCTTATGATATATTGAATTGATGTTTTTGCACTAAATTTTACCTTGCATTTTGTTATAAAGACATATATCATATTTCAAATGATTGTATATATCCTTCAAAAAATTATATAGGTATCATATATATTTCATGAGGTATCGCATCAAGCATATATTGTCGGGTGGCGCAGTTGATAACGCACTCGCTTTTCACCAAGGCGGCCGGCGTTCGATTCCCCGATCGGACGTGAAAAAGTGTGGGGTCACCAGTTCGACCACGTGGGTTTTCTCCGGGTACTTCGGTTTCCTCCCATATTTAGACCCCCGGGCGCGTACATCCGAGCCAACAAGAGTGATTAACAAAACTTGTTTCATAATTGTTTTAAAATACATTAAGTTTATATTTAACGAGTATATGATTTATCTGATATAATTAACAAACTATTTACATGTCATATATGTTAATATCAAAAGGTACATATTATCTGAGGTATCTTATCTGATATATCTTTTGCTATTAGATGTAACGATGACTTGTAACAGAAAACAGGATGTTTTATGAAGAATGATAAGGCATACATACTTGCTGAAAACAATGCCGGTCTTTCTGACAATATTTGCGCATTAAGAAATAGATATTACTTATAAAATGTGACGTAGGCTTATTCTAGTGTCTGACTCATATGATACAATTATGGANATATCATAAGTTATTAATCATTAAAATCAATTGCCGTAAATTAACGTTTAACCAAGTTTCCAATGTGTCTATGATAAAATGTATAGCATACATGTAATAAAACAAATAATTCAATTAAATATTCTTTGCTTCATCAACATTTGTCTTGATCGTTTACTCGACATCAATCTCGATATTGGTTTCATAGTGTGTGAGGTATATAAATCTGTTAATATATATTTATTAAATAGTGCCCCTGTGATAGGTACAATGAAAATAAAATAAACAAACTAAAGACATAGCCAACAGAGTACAAAGTGCCGCTTGACAGATCATGACGAAATAAAGATTTAAGGAAGATTTGCATAAAATATTATAATATTGAGTTTGTGTAAAAGTATCATGAATTTACTCTTACAAAGATATATACTAAGATTCATTCCTATAAAATCGGTAAAGGTAACCTGGTCTGCTGGTGGCTTTCATTGTTGAGTTATCATCTATACTCACCTTAGGTTTTAGATCGACCTCCTTAATCTTATTATCATCAGCTTTATATCCGGAAGAAAACTTTGGTGATTGTTCCGGTATGATGTTTGCTTGCTTGTAACTTCTGTCAGAGTCCTATCAGATAATAAGTTGTAACTAAAACGAATTCTTAGTTTAGTGACCAACCTGTAGACCAGACATTATACCGATGTTACTCCAAAGTTAATCTTAAACGTTCTCTTAGATGCATTCGGTATATGAACAAAGAAGAAATTGTGGCAGGGCAGACAAAAGCATATTTTCGAGACAATACCCCCTTCATTAAAACGCAAACATGAACAATTACACTTCAAAAAACAAAACACGGAGAAAACATAAACCAGAAACAATTCATATCAAAAATGTCTAACAGAAATCCAGTTTTTACTGAATTAATATGCGGATGCTTGTCTCTTCAGTATTCAGCTTATATTCAATATTACAGTCAGCATATAGATACTAACACATTTAACAAAATAGGCAGCATCCTACCTGGAGCACACTGTTTGCGTAACAGGTATTACCAAGATTTGGTAGTCCGTGAAAGGAAAATATATATACATGTGCATTTGATAAATATCATAAGTTATTAATCATTAAAATCAATTGCCGTAAATTAACGTTTAACCAAGTTTCCAATGTGTCTATGATAAAATGTATAGCATACATGTAATAAAACAAATAATTCAATTAAATATTCTTTGCTTCATCAACATTTGTCTTGATCGTTTACTCGACATCAATCTCGATATTGGTTTCATAGTGTGTGAGGTATATAAATCTGTTAATATATATTTATTAAATAGTGCCCCTGTGATAGGTACAATGAAAATAAAATAAACAAACTAAAGACATAGCCAACAGAGTACAAAGTGCCGCTTGACAGATCATGACGAAATAAAGATTTAAGGAAGATTTGCATAAAATATTATAATATTGAGTTTGTGTAAAAGTATCATGAATTTACTCTTACAAAGATATATACTAAGATTCATTCCTATAAAATCGGTAAAGGTAACCTGGTCTGCTGGTGGCTTTCATTGTTGAGTTATCATCTATACTCACCTTAGGTTTTAGATCGACCTCCTTAATCTTATTATCATCAGCTTTATATCCGGAAGAAAACTTTGGTGATTGTTCCGGTATGATGTTTGCTTGCTTGTAACTTCTGTCAGAGTCCTATCAGATAATAAGTTGTAACTAAAACGAATTCTTAGTTTAGTGACCAACCTGTAGACCAGACATTATACCGATGTTACTCCAAAGTTAATCTTAAACGTTCTCTTAGATGCATTCGGTATATGAACAAAGAAGAAATTGTGGCAGGGCAGACAAAAGCATATTTTCGAGACAATACCCCCTTCATTAAAACGCAAACATGAACAATTACACTTCAAAAAACAAAACACGGAGAAAACATAAACCAGAAACAATTCATATCAAAAATGTCTAACAGAAATCCAGTTTTTACTGAATTAATATGCGGATGCTTGTCTCTTCAGTATTCAGCTTATATTCAATATTACAGTCAGCATATAGATACTAACACATTTAACAAAATAGGCAGCATCCTACCTGGAGCACACTGTTTGCGTAACAGGTATTACCAAGATTTGGTAGTCCGTGAAAGGAAAATATATATACATGTGCATTTGATAAATATCATAAGTTATTAATCATTAAAATCAATTGCCGTAAATTAACGTTTAACCAAGTTTCCAATGTGTCTATGATAAAATGTATAGCATACATGTAATAAAACAAATAATTCAATTAAATATTCTTTGCTTCATCAACATTTGTCTTGATCGTTTACTCGACATCAATCTCGATATTGGTTTCATAGTGTGTGAGGTATATAAATCTGTTAATATATATTTATTAAATAGTGCCCCTGTGATAGGTACAATGAAAATAAAATAAACAAACTAAAGACATAGCCAACAGAGTACAAAGTGCCGCTTGACAGATCATGACGAAATAAAGATTTAAGGAAGATTTGCATAAAATATTATAATATTGAGTTTGTGTAAAAGTATCATGAATTTACTCTTACAAAGATATATACTAAGATTCATTCCTATAAAATCGGTAAAGGTAACCTGGTCTGCTGGTGGCTTTCATTGTTGAGTTATCATCTATACTCACCTTAGGTTTTAGATCGACCTCCTTAATCTTATTATCATCAGCTTTATATCCGGAAGAAAACTTTGGTGATTGTTCCGGTATGATGTTTGCTTGCTTGTAACTTCTGTCAGAGTCCTATCAGATAATAAGTTGTAACTAAAACGAATTCTTAGTTTAGTGACCAACCTGTAGACCAGACATTATACCGATGTTACTCCAAAGTTAATCTTAAACGTTCTCTTAGATGCATTCGGTATATGAACAAAGAAGAAATTGTGGCAGGGCAGACAAAAGCATATTTTCGAGACAATACCCCCTTCATTAAAACGCAAACATGAACAATTACACTTCAAAAAACAAAACACGGAGAAAACATAAACCAGAAACAATTCATATCAAAAATGTCTAACAGAAATCCAGTTTTTACTGAATTAATATGCGGATGCTTGTCTCTTCAGTATTCAGCTTATATTCAATATTACAGTCAGCATATAGATACTAACACATTTAACAAAATAGGCAGCATCCTACCTGGAGCACACTGTTTGCGTAACAGGTATTACCAAGATTTGGTAGTCCGTGAAAGGAAAATATATATACATGTGCATTTGATAAATATCATAAGTTATTAATCATTAAAATCAATTGCCGTAAATTAACGTTTAACCAAGTTTCCAATGTGTCTATGATAAAATGTATAGCATACATGTAATAAAACAAATAATTCAATTAAATATTCTTTGCTTCATCAACATTTGTCTTGATCGTTTACTCGACATCAATCTCGATATTGGTTTCATAGTGTGTGAGGTATATAAATCTGTTAATATATATTTATTAAATAGTGCCCCTGTGATAGGTACAATGAAAATAAAATAAACAAACTAAAGACATAGCCAACAGAGTACAAAGTGCCGCTTGACAGATCATGACGAAATAAAGATTTAAGGAAGATTTGCATAAAATATTATAATATTGAGTTTGTGTAAAAGTATCATGAATTTACTCTTACAAAGATATATACTAAGATTCATTCCTATAAAATCGGTAAAGGTAACCTGGTCTGCTGGTGGCTTTCATTGTTGAGTTATCATCTATACTCACCTTAGGTTTTAGATCGACCTCCTTAATCTTATTATCATCAGCTTTATATCCGGAAGAAAACTTTGGTGATTGTTCCGGTATGATGTTTGCTTGCTTGTAACTTCTGTCAGAGTCCTATCAGATAATAAGTTGTAACTAAAACGAATTCTTAGTTTAGTGACCAACCTGTAGACCAGACATTATACCGATGTTACTCCAAAGTTAATCTTAAACGTTCTCTTAGATGCATTCGGTATATGAACAAAGAAGAAATTGTGGCAGGGCAGACAAAAGCATATTTTCGAGACAATACCCCCTTCATTAAAACGCAAACATGAACAATTACACTTCAAAAAACAAAACACGGAGAAAACATAAACCAGAAACAATTCATATCAAAAATGTCTAACAGAAATCCAGTTTTTACTGAATTAATATGCGGATGCTTGTCTCTTCAGTATTCAGCTTATATTCAATATTACAGTCAGCATATAGATACTAACACATTTAACAAAATAGGCAGCATCCTACCTGGAGCACACTGTTTGCGTAACAGGTATTACCAAGATTTGGTAGTCCGTGAAAGGAAAATATATATACATGTGCATTTGATAAATATCATAAGTTATTAATCATTAAAATCAATTGCCGTAAATTAACGTTTAACCAAGTTTCCAATGTGTCTATGATAAAATGTATAGCATACATGTAATAAAACAAATAATTCAATTAAATATTCTTTGCTTCATCAACATTTGTCTTGATCGTTTACTCGACATCAATCTCGATATTGGTTTCATAGTGTGTGAGGTATATAAATCTGTTATTATATATTTATTAAATAGTGCCCCTGTGATAGGTACAATGAAAATAAAATAAACAAACTAAAGACATAGCCAACAGAGTACAAAGTGCCGCTTGACAGATCATGACGAAATAAAGATTTAAGGAAGATTTGCATAAAATATTATAATATTGAGTTATCATGAATTTACTCTTGCAAAGATATATACTAAGATTCATTCCTATAAAATCGGTAAAGGTAACCTGGTGTGCTGGTGGCCTTCATTGCTGAGTTATCATCTATACTCACCTTAGGTTTTAGATCGACCTCCTTACTCTTATTATCATCAGCTTTATTTCCGGAAGAAAACTTTGGTGATTGTTCCAGTATGATGTTTGATTGCTGGTAACTTCTGTCAGTTTCCTATCAGATAATAAGTTGTAATTAAAACGAATTCTCATTTTAGTGACCAACCTGTAGACCAGACATTATACCGATGTTACTGCCAAAGTTAATCTTAAACGTTCTCTCCTAAGCATTTGACGATTAATAACTGTAACTATTGACAAAAAAACAACGTAACCTGTATCGAGCACCTTAAGACACACTTAAAAACTGTTGGCCCTTCTAACTTATTTTAACAAGTCCTGATAGTCCTTCACCCAAACAGCATCCATCTATGCCTTAGTAGTAGAAAAACATCGTTTTGAGATTTTAATACATTTTAGCCTTGTGACTTTTAAGAAGAGTTGTTGAAATCGATTTTTGTTTGTGATGTGATTCTGACAAAATATTATAGTAGGTCTCCTTACAAAGTACTATTAATTAGTACAGATATGTTCACTAATTCAATAGATAAACGTTGTATTCTTTTTTGTTTTGTTTAAAGCAAACTTTTAACGCGCAAAGCTTTGAAAAATGATCTGTTGTTTCAATTTAATAGAAGTGAACTACTGTATTTTTTTTTAAATCTGACATTGCACACTTCAAATATTTGTTTCTCTGGAAAGTATTAACATATATTACAAGCTGTTCAAATAGAAGGAATTGTAAAACTAAGTTTTGTTAGCGTCATATAAATCATGACGAACACAAAAGCACTTATCCATTGGTAAAATCCAGGAATAATGGTTCACCTTATATGAATTACTATACTTTTTATTGATGCGTTATTGATAAGACGACATTGAAAACAATCAAACGTATTCTTACCCCATCCAGAAGAATACTCGGTTTGAGTTTTGCAGTTTCCAGAATTTCCATGTCGATCTCCTTGATTATAAAACAACAAATATAGATATGTCATTTATTATGCACAAACTATTGTTTAAATAAAACTAAAAGAATATGCAAGTTTATACTATGTGAATAAAACATGCAACTTATTCAAATGAGTGTGATGGTTTTTGGAAACGGACTTGATCAAAATTATATACCCTTTAACTCTTAATTTTCGTTATGAAAAGAAAACAAAACCGCACTACACGTTCAGTTAATGTCAAATAATGCCTACAGAACTGATAAGTCAAAATAATTGTCATTTTACTAAGTGAACCTTAATGCAACTGCTATAACCATAGTCAAAAAGATAGTTCCATCGCTCAAACATATGTACATTATCATATATAATATGCTAGATACTAAAACGCACGGTAAACGGATAACGGCATTTGATATGATAACACTACACTAGTATAACCCGCCTAAATAGCCTGAGAGATACAAGCTTGAGATTCTGTAGATGGATATATGATGGAAACGTGACAAAGTAACAGGGAAAACGTTGCATCGATATATGTTGATCCTCACGAGAAAGACGAAAAAGAATCCGATGGAATGAAACCTACATGTATCAACGGGAGAATCACTTTGAAGTTAAAAAAAACATCACTATTCTACAGTGATATAATCAAACAAATCAGATTGACCCTGAGGCTAAGGTTTAATTATATGATCAACTTGAAGAAGTAGGCGACAGAGGTAACCCAAAACGAGACATCGCTGATGTGATAGACAACATGAAAACAAGGCAGGTAATGTCAACACTAGTAGATTTATTCGAAATTAATCATATAGAGTTCCTGATGACGTTTATGATGGAAGTAAATTGCGATCCAATTGCATTTCTCGACATCTTAGTCAAAAAATATTGAAATCGGCAATACAGATATAAATTAAAAACAAACGGATACACGGCAATATCTGCACTTTGGTTCTGGTCTTATTGGTCACATTAAATGCAGCACACCGTACCACTTAGCAAGAAGGATATGCACCATTGTCAGCGAGTAAGAGGTACGAAAACTCCGCCTACAGGAGCTGTAGAAGTATTTAGAACAAGATAAGTACCCTAGAGAAACACTGACAATATACCGGAAAACATTACTTCATTCAATCAGAAAACCCACCGAAATAAATAGGATAATACCACTGGTAGCCACTCGTAATCCAAGGAATATGTATATATATACCCAACGGTGAAAAATCTTAACAAATTCTTGATCAACGACCAGAAAATGAAAAGGGGATTAGAGAAATCAAGAATGATAAACAGTAAAAAAAACACCGAATACTCTTAAACAAATATTATGCTTATCAAAATTACAAGTAAACGAGAAAAGTCACGGACATGGACAGCATTTTAGAACGAAAAATGATAGAAAAGAGTTATATCAAATTATCCAAATCTTAATTAAAAAGCCTTGCAAAGCATTTACGTATTATGACATCATCGATAAAATGATGTCATTATGTATGAGAGACAGAGACAGCGAGACAAAGAGAGTTGACGTAACATTACCTAAAAATAACGGGAACCCGTTAATAAATGACACCAAACAAAATACAATGAATACAAATTACCGATTCCGATTTGAGGTCTTGCCATTTGACCGGACTATTTGAAGAACCATCGATGTCCATAAGTATTCCACTAACGAGCTTATGTCGTACTCCATTTTCCCAAACTGTCACCAATAAGAATTTATTTTCAAAGCCATCTTTCACAGTGATCTGAAAACGGAAAGGATTTTTACAATTATACCAAAAAGTGATACGTTATAACGCTATCTTGTCATAAATTTTAAATATATCATACTTAACTACATCAATTATAAAATACCAATAGAAAGTTTAAAGCCTTTGATTTATGGTTTACCGATAAACTGTTTATATACAATCAGGTGTTATTTCATGCCAAACGTTTCAGCCATTCTTGATGCAATGAGGGCTGCAGTATATCACAGCACCGAAGACGGGACAGCCTAAGTAGGGAATTATTTCACAAAATAAAAATTAGTCATGAGTTAAGTTTTTCAAAAACAAATGATGAAGTATTAAGCCAAGATAAGCGCAGACAACGATACACGGGTTTATTACAATAGGAATGTGTTATTATACAAGTTAATCTAGATCTGCTCCTATAAATTTACAGTATGAGCGTTGTCACTTAGTCCTAAATTATTTCAAGGAGAGAAAATTTAACATTATAAAACAAATCCTTAATAATGAGAAAAACAATATGTCTTGAAAAAAGTCGTCGAATTAATAATCATGCTTTAATATTTGAAACGATAATGTTTATGATGTTTATTCATTAATACCATGTTAAAAGCACGACAATGAAAGTTAAAAGCACGACAATGAAAGTTAAAAGCACGACAATGAAAGCGACATTGTGGATACAATAATGGCCGAATTCACGAACGACGAATGGATATATCATTCTGTTTCATTTACAATGAAAGAACAGCAGTTTATTAAGAACGTTCATACTCAAGAGACGTCAATCCACGCTTAAGAAAAGTAACCTTATTTTCATGAAGCAATACCATTTAACAGCGCAAAACGCTACTCCTGCCGGAACACTTGGTTTCGTCAAAGGTATTTCACAAAGACCCGTAATGTTGTTCCCTTTGTTTAGGTGTATCAATAACTATTGGGGTTCCTTGTGGAATGATGTGATCGCACATATTTTGTTATATTTTATGCTCAAAGAATACACATAACAAAAGTTTACTACCTCTCAAATATGAAATCAAAGTTTTTCTTTTCTATCTCACCAACATTTAAATCTTTTTTGTATACAAATGATGTTCTGTCTTTCACAGGCCTGGTTTTGTATTTTCTTTTTTTATCGACAATCCGCTTTCCATCGCAGCATATATTAATCTTCACATACCTGAAACAAACAAATTAATATGAAGATCAAAATACATTCAGAACCTGTATAAGATCAACGTTGATAATGTAAATGGCATGCACCAATTAAAAACATATAATGTAATTTTATAAGTTAAATATTTTTGCCACATTTAATATATAAAGTTCTTTTTTTTCTCTCTCAAATGGAATTATCGTTATACATCCACCACAGAAATAAAATTATATACGTCAACAGATAGCTGTTAAGCATGAATCAACCATGTATGACCATATAATTAGAGAAATTGAGTACATGTTCATCTGCTTTCCGGGTGATTTCCTTCGGTATTGATCAATGTGTATTCTAATCATTCCTTGCGTCCTGTAATGAGTAAATCCAAACCTCAACGAACCCTGCAATAGTAAATTTCAATATTCACAGCAAAGTACGAGATAATTCACTCAATAATTAACCAACCCTGCAAAAGTAAACTTAAATATTCACAGCAAAGTACGAGATAATTCACTCAATACTTAACGAACCCTGCAAAAGTAAATTTGAATATTTACAGCAAAGTACGAGATAATTCACTCAATAAACATCGTTCCCTAAAACTGTAGGTGTAATCTCATAACCAGATATAGAACGTTACCCGTTTTTATGACGTCGACAAGTGAACATGTGGGTGGAGCTATGCAAATTTTCCGTGAACGAGACATATTTGTGTGAATTCATCAACAGAAGATGTGGGCAGAGTTAATCATGGCCTTTGTAAGTTTCAGACTGTTACTCCTGTTGAACCTATCACACGTTAATGTATTTTGGAAATTAAATTATTGGCCGCTTATCAGACTAATGAATACAATAGTTATGAACGATTCACAGAAAAAGACTGTAAAAATATAAGGAAAGGTTTTCTATTTTGGTCATGTTATGAGTTTCCAGTTGAGCACGAACAAATGTATCATAGATGGAGAAGCCATTCCAAATGTAAACACACGCATGCATGCACACCTATAAAAGCTGTAGGAGGATTTAGTACTTAAACATTATAGAAAAAGATCGCCACATTCCGCTCGGCGATAGACATTAATTGCTCATTCATATGCTTGATAATAGAGACGATATTTCTATATAGCGATGCTAGTATTTCATTTAATTTGTCTGTTCACAATTCATAGATATAACTTCAAACATCCTGGGTCTGTAAGCTCTATACAGGTAACACTCATTTACAACATATCATTATTGTTGTATATTAATGTACTTCCTAAACACAGGATCAGTACTCGGATAGTAACATTATTATCTAACACAGCATTCCTTAATTTGCATAATCATGATCCTTCTTCTCTCACTATATATTCCTATCAGTGTTAAGAGATGGTTTGGTATTTCTCAATAAATAATGTTCACATGAAACTAAGTATCTAAATTCATGACATTACTTGACTGAGAACCACACTATAAAAAAAGGTTTGTTACTATAAAAATTATAAAACATCATGTTTTAAACTTCAATTAAGGGTTTGAACCAATTTAACCCTACCTTTTTTTGCCTTAAACATTATAGTTTATTTTTGATCTAAAGTGTTTTTGGCATTTCGCTATTACAACACGATCTTGTTTAATTTTTGAGTTCAGCGATGTATATAAACCAATCACAAGGTTATAATTGTAGTTATTTTCACATAAAGTAGTTTACTTCAGCGGAGGTATTCGGGGGCTGCTTTATCCATCCCGATGCTGGAGTAATTCTTACGGAATCTGCAAAATAAATCAATAAGTAAATGCATATAAATACATAACTAACACAGACATTGACTTTATGAATCACAGAAATGAGTTTGCTGTGTTACAGATTAAAATTATTTTTAAAGCAAAGTGCCTAAGACAAATATATGTTGTACCATATAAGTTAACATCGCACCTTGCTGTTTATCTAGGATGTGTAAGAAAACAAAACCAAATATGATGAAATTCGGTCCTTTTGCGCGCTTTTAATGAGGTTTATTATGCAGTCTATTGTATGCGTGCAATTGTGGAAAGACTTTTCCATAACAAAATGTTCGACGCTTTTTTTGATTGGATGATATATGTTTTGACTACATTAAACATATATGCCCTCATCGGGATCTTTATATACTACATATACCACTACTTACGGTACTTAAACAGCATATATGTAACCTATGTAAGTTTAACTCAACATATATGCCACATAACGTGTTTTCATAATTACCTTTTGACTTTCCTTTTCGCTGATTTTGATTGGATTGGGATCTCGGATCAACAGTACTGGTATTAGCTTTCTATGAAGTATAAAATCTTTATATGAACAAGGCAGTGCTTCTAAATAACCACATTTACAGGTTATTCTGAAATTTGCAGCGGCTAAATTTCTTCGTGTAAATTCATGTCAATTTCTTCATGTAAATTCAGGTCAAATTATTGTCAATTTCAGAATAAATTTTCAGGTCAACTTCTACACGAAAAGAGCCAAAGATCTATTCTTTGTTAAAATTTGACCTGCATTTCACCTTAAATTGATCCGGAAATAAATTAATGTGAATTTGACCTGAGGATTTTTTCATGTCAAAAGTACTTGGAGATTTTTTTTCCAGCGTGCATGACCTTAAGCGATGCGGTACAAAAGAGTCCCATGTCTATCTATATGATAGTAACAAACAAAACAGTTTTTGTTATTGTGTAGTGTATGCTTAATAGAATCCTCGAGTTCATGTTGTTTCCATTATCCAGTACTGAGGAAATTACACGTGGTTTTCAACATTTCAATGATTCAAACTGTCCATCGTCAAAAACAATAACTTTACGTTCAGATATTTAAACGATGTGCACTTTTTTGTGTTTTATATTTTACTACCAACCTTTTATTAATATTAATATTCGGACAATCCAAACATGGTAACTTCATGAAACAGCAAACTTTGCTCACAAACAACAGTAGTATCTAACACTCAGCTATGTTTTATGTAGCTGTTTTATCATTCTTTTGTGACCCAGATTTTTCTTTCAATTAGGAATATTTCAAATACAAAAACTATTTAAAGTCCTCTATGACAGTTTAGAAAAGTTATGAAGGGAGAAAGAGTTAGCAAATTATGTTGAAAATTTGGACTACCGGTTAATTTTTTTTTATGTTTTCGAATTCAAACATTTGATACTACGAAAAACCAAGGTACATGTGATACATCATCCAATCAATTTTTTAACTAATCAACTGCGATTATATTACCAAATTTGTGTTTGTATACTTCGTACCTTTTTCGCATTTTGTCGATTTTTCTGATCAGTTTGGGTTCCAGAGGTTTGGGAAACACCAGCAACTGTAAAATGAATATTTCCCATCAGTCACATTAATAATGTGTGCTAGTACAAATGCGATTTTTACCAAAAGATATCCTAATTTTAGAATAAAGCTTATGTGCTGAAATTTTGTTCATACCATCCCCAAATGAACGAGAAAATAAATTAAAACGATGAACATTTGGATGGCTCGGAAAGAACGAACACAATCATGAGAAATATTAAATTCATTGCGAGTTACCGACGGCAATTTTTTTAACGGGGCAGCATTTCTGTCAACAACATTAACTCCGACGGTAGCTCCATGCAAGGAACAAAGCTATGGAATATGCAAACATGCAATAACAGAGAGGGAAATCAGTGGATTAAAAGCTAAATGGCTGCGGAGTCAAATCAAGTGTGAATGATACATTTGAAAGAAACAAACATTTATTTACTTAATTAATAAAGGCTAAGTTAGTTTTAAACAAAGTGGAAATTGAAAACTTATTTTGCGAGCTTTCGAACACGTCTGTTTCCTTTAACAAGCAAAGAGCTGTCATAATTCATAGACATTTCGCCTCGATTGCACTCTAACTCTGCAGGCAGTCAGAGGGACGGGTAATACATTTACCTATTCTGCTCCTTTTGGAAGTTACCTTTCATACCAAACAGATGGACTTTTTGGCCTGTATCTGTTGGGTGCGGTAATTTAATCCCATCAAATGTTTATACATGCAGCTCCATCAACAAACTATTTTTCTTTTCTCTTCATAATATACATGTATATATATATATATATATACCGATATATATTTTATATGTCTTTTCAATATCAAAATAAAAGGTTAGAATTTAAACCATTAGATTCAATTATAATAAAAATGAGTATTAGTAGTTGTTTCCCCTAATTTGATTATTAATTTGATAATACCAACTTGTTTATATGTGTTTGTATGTGTTCTAATGTCTATGTCTATACTTGTACCACTATCTGTTACTATGTTTGGAAAGGGCTTAAATAGGCTATGCCTGCTGCCCAATCCATTTGTCCTTTGACAATAAAATTTATTGAAATAGAAAAAATACCAAACAGATTAACCTCATTCCGAAAACTAACAATACGCCAGTTAAATGTTTTAGCTGACAATTTGCGTCAGTAATTAACAAAGGGCTGGCATGAGTCACCTAGATACAGAAGCAGTCATAGCAAAATATTCTTATTCCAAAGAATATTGAAAATAAAAATCCAGGGGCGGAGGCAGTACCTTCAGTCAATATACATATTTTTTCTCAAGGAGTATATCCGCAAATATACAGTTTACAAAAAAAAATATTCTTTTAAATGGATTGATAAGGTTTCATCACACTACCTGTAACTTCCAAGTAAAGAATGTTTTACAAAACAATGTTGACGTCACTGTGAGCAAGAATATTATTAATATACTCTTTTAGATAATCGTTTAACTTTTACATCAATTTTTCAAACTTTATCAGCTATTGGCAATGCAACTTATTTCAATTCGGTTTCAAATTTAAGTGTTCCAACTTACACAAAGAATGTGCTGGCCTTTCCTCTGCGTTGGAATCATTTGCAATCCTATTCAGACTAGATTTCCTGAAAAGATATATATATATTTATATATACCAATAATCTATTATAACGATATTTTTTTCCCCATTTTGTTCTTAAAGCTGACAGTGCAAGTTAAAAAGCATTCAATTGAGATTATTAAAAAAAGAGTCCAGAATATTTTTTTCTAATTTTGAGATCTGCCCCAAGGCCTCTAAGGAAGTACCGACATTTTAGTTTTCCTAGCTTGGTAACGAGTATGGGTCTCGCTGGGTATAAAAATCGCATTACCTGTCAAACCGGTTATCATTCTACAACTGACCGTCTTGCGATTCAATGCACCGCGCACCCTGATCGGCAACCGATATCAAAAATCAAACACACTCACCTGAAGACTTTGAAACACCACCAAGCTGGTTGTTATATTACTTATGGCACATTCTTGAAAATTGTGTATCCAAAATAAAAGGTATATTACTGAATACTTCTATAAATCCCATATATGACATCGGTCTTTCTAGTGCTTAGAACTGCACTAACACACGAAAACTTTATTATGAACTCGTAGTCTTCGTCGAATAGATGCATTACTAGCAAAACACGTGCAAAATACGACACTCCCAGCAGGGATTGTGCATTATATATCTTAATTGGTCGTATTTTACTACTATTTCCACTATTCTTAGATACATGTTATCTTTGATGTGTTCCAATTCAATTTTACTCAACTGATCTGATACAAAATGTTGGTAAAAATCGTGCGTGAAAGTGTTCTATCAGAGACATATATTGTAAAGTAGCGTCACCTTGTGCACATATTAAACAAACGATAACCGGTTTGACAGGTAATGTACTCGCTACCAAGCAAGGACAAACTTAAATGTCGGCACTTCCTTAGAAACGGTAGAAGGAAGAGAGGGGGAAGATCTCTAAACCAGAAAAACATAAACTTTAAAAAATAAATATAGGGATATAACAGAAAACAAATCGATATCTGCTGTGGTCATTGCAGTACTTTGGACAATTATTATAAACAAGCATCGATAGTTATCAGAGGCGTATATGGTATGTATCACTAACCTGGTGGTTTTTTTTCGCTATCCTAACTAGATAACAAATTGAAAAGCTTCCAATAACTTGGGATCATGGTGTAAATCTCAGTTGTTTTATTGACCCAAGAAATAACAACACTTGTTAATAGCAATGATAAATACATTTGGTACATATTGTAATTGGTCAGTTAGACTTCAGAGATGTCTCAAGCAATCGGAGGGCAGGGCTTCTATAATTTAAACAGGCTGTATTGAGTCATTGCACTGATTAGTTACTGGCATTCCTTCTAAAGGTGGTACGGTTCAGTGTACCTATCAGGATGAAAATGTGAATGCAATAGAAATAGAAGTAGAGGTCCTGCTCCAAAATAGATATTAATTCTATAAAATGATATGCTGTATAGTACTTAATAACACAGATCATAGTGTGGCATACGGTACAATGCAGGGTGAAGAGAATCAAGAGATAATTCAAAAGATAGATCTACTCTGCCTTTAAACCAGTTTAAAGAGACAAATGCTTTCAAAGACGTGAAAAGTATTGAGGAACTACTAATTAAGAACAGTCAAATAGCCAATAAACCCACTGACAAAGAGACGCAGTCTGAATCTAAGCAGTCCGATGCCTATGTTACAGACCAGAAGTATTTCCTCATATATAATATTCACTATTTATTATGCATTTTCCTATTTTTTCACTGAACTGTGTACTGAAAGCGATTTAATTTTCAACAATATTTCATAACAAATGTATTTCATTACATTTATATTTCATAACAAATGTATTTACATATTTTCATTTTCCTCGTTTATTGGTTTATAAGATATATCCTATCTAAAAAAATACACGTAATTTGGTGAAGAAAGAAAATTGCCAGATATTTTTTTAACTTAAACATCATACTTTGAAGAAAAAAAAACCAACCCCCAAAAAAATGCACCAAAAATGACACAGGGAAATTCAGTCAAATGTAGAAATGTATTGTAAAAAAATGGCTGGGGGAAAAAGTGTTCCTTTAAAATTGTTTCACTGATTCGAAGTTTTCGTAGTGTGAAGATTTTATGTTTAATCAAGTTATAATTCTTTTTCATCAACATAGGCCATATACTGTTAGATTTTTTTTTCTGGTATAAGACAAAGTCTGTTTTGATGTAGTCCTATTGATGTATTCTTAACTTTCATTTTGGTATATCAGTGACCATCCTCATTCAAGGTGAAACAGTTACATGATGAATATAATGACGTTGTGATGTCACATCCATGTTGAACACCATACATTGTTTGAAATGATAAGAAATGTAAAAACAGATAGTTGTACCAGTTGAAATAACCTGTTATACAGGATATATATATATATGAATAATTATTTTAAAACAAAAGTTATGTTTTTGTGATCTATACTACAGTCACTACAATGAAAGGATCCCAGAGGTAGAGTCGGGTCACCCTCTTCAGCTTCTAACTATCAATTGATTTTTTTTAGTAAAATGACTATAACTTTGCCAAATTATATATTTTTTTTATTTTTATTTTTTTTTAAATCGAAAAATGTTTAAGTGATGCAGGTGTCTTTTACGCTGTCAAGTAATAAAGCATGCTCTTATGATTATATCATAAAATGACTGACTGATTTGTAGGTGAAGCGTTTAGTGTATTTTAACTGTGGTAAGCGTCCTGAGCAGTGGTTCAGTGGCTCTTTTATCCAAATGTTAAAAACAAAGGTTCAGTAACTGACTCTACAAATTATAGACCTATTACCAATGTCAGCTATCCCACCTTTGTAAATTATCTAATGGAATTATAAATGAATATTTTGACGAATATAACTGCATGTACGAAAATCAAGAGGGCTTCCGAAACATTGGATTTTATTTTTGTATTTCCCTCATTTAGTTCTCTTTAACATTTTATGGGGAAAAAAACTATATTGCATTTGATTGATTTAATGAAAAATATCATTCAGTTTAAAAGAAGTATTCATATCTGGAAAATATATTATATTTACTGAAAAAAGTATATGTGAGCCTGAGCAAACGGAAGGACAATCAAAGCCTTTATTTAGAAAATCCACTTGTTCAGCCGATCGTGTCGCGATTGGGTCGAGTTAGCTTCATTTTCTAATGGTCTAAGGGAGACAATTTATTTATAAAGATTGTATTCCGGATCGAAAGCGATTTTACTGTTTATGTTAGAGTTTGCCTAATAAAAGTTAAGTGCTAATACCCGTAATCTGTCACAATATTTCAAGGATTAACCCGCTACAAATCCTGAATATCATCATAACAGTATGCTATTTCAGACTATATTGTTATATTTTCATATGTTTCAAATCTCATCCCGATGGTCTAAATAAGCTGAGATGAGTCACATACATGTTTGCACGATCAGGGGGGAAAAAACAAACATGATTCGAGTATCTGAATTGGAAAATAACGTTGATAATTAAATAAAGAATCAAGAAATGTTCTATTCGATAGCAACGGTTTTATTGCAGTACTACATTTGTAATACCTACAAAGGGCACAATAAATTATTTCTGAATACGTACCGCATCCTTTTCCCTGATCCGTCTTACGGGAACCACTATCGATTCGGGTACGATTACATAGCCAACTTGGTCTTCTTCCGACAAGCCCACTTTTGTTTTGATATGACTATATTCTATTTTAGTAACATAGCTAGTAAAGCAGAAACGAAAGTAAAACTTTAAAGTGAAAGTAGGAATCCCAAATTGAATAATGAATACACCATTGAATTGAAACCGAAAATAGAAAGGAGTGGTATTTCACATCACAATCTGTGAAGGCTGTCTGCGATGAATTTTACATGTGAGTATTACAAGTGTAACATAAACGTACTACAAATTATAATAACAACAATCTATATCGTTGTTTACATTTTAAAAGTCTGTAATTTTTCAACCTCTGCTCTGCGAGGGTTGACGGTAAAGTACGCCAGTATCAGACCCTAATAAACATAACATCACTCTGACTTGTATTGTGATTGGGAAAGACAATTCATTCATATAGAATTGATGTTAGAGGCAATATACACAGATGTACAAAGAAACACGATTTTCTTTAATATATTGATATTCTTTGAGAAGTTGTATTTTTATATTTAGCAATTCAGTGAAATCAAAAATTCACTCAAAATTTAAAGATAGGATTAAAATTTAGATCATATCCAATGTATCATGTACAGGAAGGAAAGGATTAGAACTACCACAACCAGATCCTAATAATAAAATACACGTCATAATTTTGATACCGAAAGTGAAAGTAAAATGCATCGATACCCAGAGGAAATCCATATTCAAAAGAAAAACGCAGATGGTGGTAGGTGAGTAGTACTGTATTGCGATGTACATATATAATGTACTAGTATACTTGAAACAATGTGAGCGTATTTAAACATGTTTAGCAATCATAAACCTCCATGAAATTGTTATTAGGCTACGAAATATTAAACAGGTTTCTGATAAATGAATCGATTCCTGTCAAATTGAGCATCGACAAAATACCAAAAACTCCTAGATTCACTTACCGCTTGCTGAGCACGCGATACCTGCCGGACATACACAGTGTAATTTTGTTTTAATGATTTTCTTTTGAATACTCCTTTTGAGTAGTTTTCCTCTTAAGACATGTACTTTATTATTGAACCAGTAAAACGAAAGTGAATGTACAAATTCCTTAGTCACACAGTTGTATGATGAGCATGGTACGAGAAAACCATCGATCGTATTACTGTAAAGTGTTGTATAAGCATGAACTACTGTTTTAAATAGATAATTCAACATATTGCATTGTGTTATATGTTTCTTTTGACTGCATACGATGCCTACAAAATAATTCTCTGTGTGTTTTTAGGGAACATGTCTTCCCATGTTGGTGCTACAAAGGATGCTAGTACATATGAGAAAACCATCATCTTTTTACATGTTTTTCAGAGAGAAGATTTATTTCTGTGATGAATGGGTGCGATCAGGTGAGTACATTTACACCAATGTTCATTTTTAAATAATTAATAAAACACGATCGACCTTACAGGGGAATCTTCTAGTGTTTTGCCTGCAGATGGAAAGGGGGCATTTTAGTGTTAGACGATTAAGCTTTTGATGCGTATTTCACAAGATATTTCTATAAACTCTTGTATGAGTCTGTAGCTCTCCATGATAACTGACAAAACCCAGAAAGGATTTAAGCTGTTTTTGGTATGGGCCTATTTTAAAGGATTATATATGCTCCGGAATTATCGACGATAGATTAACTTTTAGGGAATAATGCGTAGACTTAAGTGCAACAACAGTGTTTATACAAAAAAACCTCGTATTGTCATGAGTGTGGTTGTGTCTTTTTTTTTTTTTTTTTTTTATTAGAACAGGAATACATAAGGCTTACAACAATTTGCACTTAACTCAAATCATACCGCTGATATAAAACGTACTGAACTTGATATTTTTTTGTTTTCAATGGTCATTAACAAATACGATAGTTTGTTTGTACATTGAAATAAATTAAAAGTGTTTCCCTGTGAATTTCCCATTTACCTCTCCCATTTGAATCCTTATCGAGAATTCGAGTGAGCTTACTAGACTAGACGAAGAGAGGTAACTCGTATTATTGTCTTCGATAAATGTCAAAATAAGATGACGGCTTACTCAACTAAAACATTTTGTAATATTCCTGCTTTAACTTCATATATGTGTTTGAATGCTCAAGGTTATCGCTATTTCCAATATTGACCATCGGTATCGTGGATGGATTGACGTGTTGAATAATAAAAATTTATAAAAAAAAGAAGCAATCTTCTTGCTAATTTCTAATTAATTTCTAATTCATTCCCGATCAGAAAAAATGAATAAAAAATCGATTAAAATTTCTTTATTGGAAACAAATTTTAAACAGAATCAGGACTGCCGTCAAAACACCGTTAAAACACACTTGTGATGGCAATACGTGTGTCTGTCATTGTTATTAACAACTGTCTCAGAGTGTTTAACCACTGACATTACTGAACGTCTAAACGATCCTGACGTGGCGACGTTTTATGTCGACGTCCCGCTCCAATGAGTTGGTTGACATGTCCTACTCATTGAAAACGCTGCAAAAGGCAGTAAATCGTAAATCTTGTACAATTTTTATCACACGCGAAATATAGCGTTTTGTTGCAAAGTCATGTAGCATCACTATCACGCGATTTCTATCCATTATTGAAAGTCTTGCCATATTGCCAACACATTCAAACCTGACGGCCTTGCAAAGGGGAATGTGGCACAATTTGCACGTGCATTACTTCAGTGTGTCGTGTATACGCGCTCAGGGGTATAAAATGTAAGGAAGCCAATATATGAATTTAACGTCAACACATTTGTTTTTTTTTACCTGGCAATGATGCGAGTCCACTTTTATATTGGCTTTGCAGAAACATTACGTTTGGCAATTATATATTTATTTTAAAATTGTATCCTTAATATTACCGTTGAGTATATATATTTATGAAAGTTATTAACTACCCAAAAATGTCATATTACAGCAAAAGTGAATAATTCCTCTACACATACCTCATGATTTTCTGCCACCGTCTTTAGGGAACCACTTTTTGGTTTTGACTACTTAGCTATGCTGTTCTTGTTCCGTCAAGCCCACCTTTGTATATATGACAGTCGTATGCATTCTACTTTGGTAGCATGACTGATAAGCAAAAACGAAAGTAGAAATTTAAAAATGAAAGTAGAAATCTCTAGACGAATGACAGACACAGTTATTCCTTAATGAAACGAAAACAAGAAAAGGGGTCGGCATTTTAGATCAACTTTGTAATGGCTGTAATAGAGGATTTTCAGATGTGAGTATTACTTATGTTGCATATACATACTAATAATGCTTATAACATAATACACATCAAATGTATTCATTTATTAGTTACGGATACAAGAAAAATTAGTTTATGACATCAAAGTGTTGTTTTTTTTCTTTCGTTTCATTGAGTAGTGATGTTTCCCGTTTGTACTGTAAGGAAGTAAAGAAAGGAGACAGTACAGTACTGCATGAGTAACAGTCAGGCTAGATTTGTTATTTATTTCCGGGTAAAGTCAGAACATTTATTTTTTGGACAATCAGAAAATGTTGTTGTATACAGTGTTGGCCGATCTGTATTTGATATGGATGTGGTAAAGAATGGCCTCTAAGTAGACATTTCGGGTTTTGATTGTCGAGTTTGTTTTACCGCTAGTTCTCAGTAACTACCGAACAGATCATGGAGTAACATATTGTACATTTTCCCTTTATTCAATTTATTTGCCTGCTTCAAATTCAGTCGAGTCAGAAAAACAAACATATTAGCAAGCAGGCTAACTTGAGTTCTGTGTGGATATAACATGTAAATTGCCATTAGGTACTAAATATATCATTATGATTTGGTATGCATGATTCACTTTGTCCCTGGTTTTGTAGGCTCAAATTTTGGAAAGATAAGAAAATGTAGGATAGAACAAGTTCCTCAAAGATGAATCATAATTCCTTTGGTGCCTCAGTACATGTGTTTGCCCAAGAAGAGAATAGAGAAATGAAATAAAGAAAAAAGTTACATAAATTAATGCAAATTTGATCCAGAGCTCAGTATTTTGAAGGAAACTATTGTTATGATTGCCAAGGTCAAAAAAATATAAAGCTACACAAAACTTTGTCATGGAATAAGATTAGTCCGTGGCTTTATAAATCATTCATGTTGCTGTCAATTTGAAATGGTTTCAGATTTTAAGTTGAAGTCTGAATTCCTCATATGTAATCAGGCCCACAGCACCAGAACGTACATATATGTAATAATACATACCTCATCGGTATGTCATTCGTCTTCAGGGAGTCACTTTCGATTTGGGTAAAAATAATTAGGTTACATGTTGTTCTTGTTTCTTTAAACCTATTTTTGCTATGATATAACAGGCGCATGACTATATTCTATTTTAGTAGTACAACTGCTGAACCAAAAACGAAAATGGAATTTCCGAAACAAAAGAACTCGGAACTTCCTCAATAGAACGAAACCGAAAGTAAAAAGGTTTTGTAATGACTGAAGATGAATTGTACATGTGAGTATACTTATATCGATTCCTGTCAATTGTATGCATTTAACAATTACGAATATGATCAATTTCAGTTTATGACATTGGGAAAAAATATTTTTCTCTGTAGTTGTTTTTCTATTTGTAATGCAAGGTCGTAAAGATGTGACGGTATGGTTCTGAACGAGTAACAAGCAGACCAGTTGAAATAGTTACTTTTCACATAATAAAATCATGTGTTTTCAAAAAGTGTTTGCCGATCTGTCAACAAAATCAACATAACACTGGTCATAATGATGCAGGTCACTCATTTAGCAATCATGTATTGGTTTAAACTTTGTTTTATTCAAATTTTGTTTGACAATACATCGAAGTACATGTTTTATGAAACAGAAAAGGAAACAAAAACAAGTGTCGTGACACCATCATGTATTACCGCACACCAGTATCAGTGCCGTTTATTTGATCATTTTATAGACAAACAGTTTTATTAACCCCATCCCTTCAAATTAAATGAGAATGTGCACTGAAACGAAAGTCACCTCCCTTTCCGGAAGATAGATACCATACCTTTGCTACATAGTCACAGCAGGTTATTCCAATGTGGAAGACACACTTTATATGTAATCTAAAGTGACTTCATACTTACAGCTTACACAATCTAAATATTTTGCTGTATTTAGATTTAAGTTATTCTAAACGGTCGTTTCAAAAGGAGCCATTACAGGGTAGAAAAATGAGGATTTTTTTCTCAACACAACTGTTTGGAAAAACAAGTTAACGTTCAGTCAAACTGCTATGTCAATCTTTATGATATGAGGCATCTTAAATGAAATGTAAGATTTTTCATAAAGTATATAAGGCAACACGTATATAGGGACCACTTGTTGTAGACAACAAAGCACTGTCTGCAGTAAACCATGGAGTGATACCGGTTGCATTGGGGAGTATCAAACTATCCGTCCTGTATAAGGTATCTTATATAATAACGATATTTCAAATGTAATAATTAAGATTAAGATTCAGTTATTTTTACAAAGAACAATGTGATCCTTCCAAACCAATTCTTTGATAATCCACAAAATAACTTATTCAAAAGTAAAACTCGCTTCATTTTGTTCAATTTTTTTTTTTCAAATTTGACAATATGCACCGTTTTATGCCATTGTCTACAGGCATTTCAGGCATGGCATCAAATAGCTTAGCTGATCCAATCTGGTCCGTGGTTAGTCCTCCGTCCGTCCTGAAACAATTATTGTTATTTCTATTTCTCAAAAAGTACAGTACGGATCTTTCACAAATTTTATAGAAAAGTTTGCCTTGGTCCATATTTGTGCGTGTTTCATTTTGAGACTTATAGGGGGAAAAAAAGGGCTGCCAGGCAGCCATCTTGGATTTTGAGAGTTCAAGTTTGTTATCGCTTTTTTTCATGTCTAGCAAGACAGATCTTTCTTAGATTAAATATGAAAGATCCACCTTGGCCTATAGTTTTGCATGCTTCATTTTGCGATAAAAAGCAAGATGGCCACCAGACAGCCACTTATAATTTTTAAGTTCAAGTTTTCTATCAATGTTTTTCAAGACGTACTTAACATATCTTACTTCCCCATGGTCCATAGTTTTGCCTGTTATTTTTGAGACTGCTTGAAAAGAATACAATTGCCGCAGGAGAACCATTTTGGATTTTCACATTTCAAGTTTGATAACCCTATTTGTCAAGACTAGCATTTCTCCAATTTCATATATAGTTTCCCCGTAGTCTATAACAGTACATAATTGATTTTGGGACTGATTGGAAAAAAATCAATGGCTGTACATTTAGCCATGTTGGATTTTTCGAGTTCGAATAACTATAAAACAATAAAAAAAAAGTTACCACAAGATGCATATACTGTTGACAACACTATCAATTCATACAAATTAGATGTTCGTATCTGACGATAAGAGGCTTAAACTTAACTCCATATTATTAATAATTCATGTATCCAAGAGTCTGAGTGGAAATATTATTCGTATCAAGCCGACGTGATAATACAAGGTGGTGTCATATTTTCAGACAATGATTTTACAGAAGACATTCAGACATTGTCGTAGCAGCTAAGGTATGTATGATGACCTAGCTGTACATGAATATCACATTATAAACGTATTTGCTGTTATTAAGTATCACATAATTATATGATAAAAGTCGAGACGTACTTTTCACGTATGTTATTGATAAACACGAATATATCGAATACACAAGATTGTCTCTGTTTAAAAATTTGAAAAAATGATGTAATATCCTATTATTGTGAGCGACGACTTTATGACTGCAATTTCATGAATCCGTAATTAAATAAACTTAGGCTTCTTTTTATTCAATTTTAGTTTGTCCTGAATCTGTTATAATACCAACTATGACATATGTTTTTCTGCAATGAATCAGATCGATGTGAAATAACCACCAGTTTTAGTGTGTCGCAGAAAAGGATTGTAAATCATTTAATATTAGCTGTACATAAAGAAAAACATATACACACATGTATGTTAGACACGCAGAGAGTTATAATTAGGTATCAATTTCTTAGCCGCTTTGAGACGACCTACAAACTAGGTTGTGATAGATAACGCGGTACATAAGAACCTCGAATTATTATTATTATTATTATTATTATTATTATTATTATTGTATTACTACAAAACCATATCTTATTTCCATAACAAGAATTATAGTAACATGCTCCGATAACATCTTTAACATGAATATAAATGTAAAACAATGGACTGCGTGACCTTGATGGATAAAGATAAACGTTACATTAATATTTAGTTGGCTATGTTATATACATGATAAAACATTTCATTGACAATCTTTATAACATGTCTAACTCATTCATAACACCATAGAAAAGGCATATGATGCAAAGTTATTGATCGAAGTCACTCAACCTTAATTTTCTTCTTCACAATCTGTTAAAATATATTACTCTGGAATTTTAGAATGATTGTAGTGATTTCGTATGGCAACATCCGTCTGATTTTGTTGCTTGTATACAGTCAATAAAAGAGAAAGTAAGCCCTGTGCGACCTATGTATATAATGAACTTCATATCAGATGCTATTTCTTATCATTATCTTCGTCGTGATTGCACGTTTCCAGTTATTGTTGTTGTTTTCATATTTTACTTCTACCTCTTTTTTGTGTTTGTTGACAATATGTGGAGTTCAAATTTGTTTCATTGTACTTATTGGAAATGTTGATTCATATAAAGTTTTCAAAGTGATGATATTTGCACTAATATTATTAATGGTTTAATGATGGTCACACTCTCAATACACCGTAATATAGCCCCTAAATTTTCGCGTTTTCGATCAAACAATGGCCGAATAAAAGTCGAGTTATGGTGATGTTTTAAGCATATTTTACACACTAAAACATGATAAGACACGTACAGTTCAGTTTTGGTGCGCTTACTATATGCTGTGGATCGAAAGAAATATCACGATTTTTGCGATACTTTGGTTTATTAGCTAAAATTAAATTCAGATTGTAGATCAAATATATGGGAAAAGATAAAGAAATATTGACCAATAGAAGCTCACTTCTAGTATATATCCTGAATGTTTTTGTTGTAAAGGTTTTATATAATTTGAAAAAAAAGGCAACAGGCAGAGCCTTTGTAAGCCATCTTCTTAAAATATAATATACTAGTCCTATTCGTACGTTTATGTATATGTTTTGTTACAGTAAACCTAAGATGAGTCGGAACACCGTAAACGTGAGTGATTTTTCCTTTTCCATTTTTTTATAGTATCGTACAATATCAGTGCACTAATTGAGGTATAGGTGTCATATCTGAGAACTAATAACAAAACCAAAGAGGCAAGGAACGCTCCCATTACAATTATCAACAGTTTATCCATACAAATATTAACGCGATGTAAAAATCTCAAGTAGCCATATTTTTAGTTTATCAGTTATCCTGATGTTCAGCGTCCGATATATTTGTTACGTTTATGCCTATAAATTCACTTGTGAGAACCAACTTTGAAATAATTACGCACTTTGTGGTAACTAATATATTTGCAGGATGTCTTCACCGTCAATGAGAACGTACAAACGGGGAAGTACTGCTCGAGACATCATTCAAAGGTACATAAGTCAACTGAAGTATCTTGTATGACTAAGCATACTTTCATATCTTCAGAATTCCAATTGTCCATAAGTAACCTGTTCATTTGATCAGAAATCACAATACTCAACTTAAAACATAAGTCTGGTTGATATACATGACAAGAATTTCTTTCTCAGACATAACAAGATTTTTTTTTTATTATTATCAAGGTTAAATCGATTACTCTCCGATGACGATTCAATATTTTTTTCACAGTCGCACATAGAGTTACCTTGTGGGGATACGTATTGCATGTATTGCCTTAAAGATGAGGTGCAACGATACACTTGGATGATGCTGACTTGCAAACATTGCCAAAAAGAAATTTCAAAAGAGCAGATAGCGATATTTCTTCAAAAGGTAAATTTTTATTCGCTTTGTATTGTCGTGGGGATCATTTTTCAGAAACTTCTGGCTGGATACTTCTGTAACTTCACATGAATATTGGTTGACATATCTAGATGTTTGTAACGTAGATTATTCTCTAATTGGTCATGAAAAATGGCTATCATGATTTGTAATTGAGTGAAACATATTGGGCTATAAGTTTTGTTCTATTTCTTATATTAAAATTAAAGTTGATTAAAAAGGTGCTTACTTTGGAAGTGTGATAAAACAAAGTTTACCTTTTATACGCCCGTCAAATTTGACGGAAGTATTATGGCATGGCGTCGTCCGTCCGTCCGTCCGGCGTAAACTTTTGTTTGTCCGGCAATCTTCTCCTACATTTTTCGTCCGATCTCTTTGAAACTTTGTATACATAATGTATGATATGAAGTTATGTCTCCCGTAAAAGAATTTTGATTTGACGATTTTTGCAAAAGTTATTGCCCTTTGTTCATTTCAGTATTTTATTTTTTGTCCGGAGATTTTTTCTTACATTTTGTGTAGCATGTCAGCTAACCACGCTTAGAATGATGCAGATCTTATTTCAATGTAAGAAAGTATATAACAATATATGGCATTCGACGGACGTATATTGTTCGGCCCCGCGGTAGTATTGTTAACAAATGGTCTGGGGTGTGGGAGAGAGACAGAGAGGGTACTAGAATCTATTAGAGTCGTGAATTTAAAGCTGAGTATGCAAAAGTTCGTTCAATTTTATTGTTTTGAAAGGAGGTATCTCTAAAAACAATGATGCTGAGGAAGAGATTGCAGTCAATCAGTCCACGACAAAGCTTAATTCGATATTTGTATCACAGGTCAAAAGAAATGATTGGTCTCCTCGATAGGGAAACCACATGTACAACGTTGGCCATCCGTAAGGTTTACTCGAAAAAAGATACTTTTTAAAATATTGAAAATGTTATTTTCCCGATTACCATAGATAAGTAATTTGGTACATGAAGATGTTTATGTCTAGAATGGCGTTTCTGAATTAGGAGAAAGTTGCAGTACGCCTTATGCCTATAGGTAACTGGTTCCATAGTCTTATTTTAGAAGGAAAGAAGGATACGCTAGATAATTCGAGCCCGTTGTTAGGTAGATTGCTAATCTATTTTAAGCCTTACGAAGGTTATATTTCGAGCATGAAGGGAGCAGAGTGTTGAGATAGTTAGGTGCTATATCCATGTGTATTTTGTTAAATAACAGAAAATTTTGACGGGATAACCAATAGGCTAGAGATTTCCACCAGGTTTCATTATATAAAGATTGTGTACTAGTATAGGAAGATAGACTAACAACAATATAGCCTCCAGTTGTAGCTTTCAATTCATTGGTGTCAGTAACAGAACAACCATCCCAAAGTTCAATATTCAGGAATAGGAAGTATACATGATCTATATATCTTATTCAGTGAACGTCGATTCAAGGGTATATTTTAGTTACGGAGAACACCAAATTGTTTAACTGCTTTTTACATATAATATCAATGTGATATGTCAATTTGCAGTATGCATCAATGAATACTCCGAGATGCTTATTATTATCAACACTTAAATTATTATCAATACTTTCATTAATAAAGTTAATGTCGATGAGGTGATCTAATTAAATCTAACAAATTAGAAATAAGGATAACTAGCATGTATATATGTTAAGTGATCTTTCAGATCCGGATAACAAATTGATTACATACATTTATATATGTTTATGATCTGACTGGTCTGGGTAACATTTGTTGTTAGCATACATGTATATACTTACATGAGCTTATATGATCATTTAGATCAGGATAACATTTTTTTAATTAAAAACCTATTTACATGTTTATAATCTTTCATATCTAGGTATCTTTTTTTAATTGAATACCTATATATACGCACAAAGAAGTAATATCGACAGTGCACTGACAAAGACATTTGTGAATTTTTCAGGGCAATTCGCCCTTTTATGGAGACAGAAACATAAAACTTTACTTATCACAATATATAACAGAGATAAACAGTCACCACGAAGCAATGAAACAATAAAAAAACATAAACAAACAAACAGTCTTAACTGATATGAAATATGCTGTTGTAATTGCATAAGAGAATATTTTTTATTCAAAACTTCTGGTTGTCTGACAGTAATAGACAAGAAAAAAATGCATCAACTTCATCATTATGTTGTACATCAATTTTTCATCCAAATGCATGTCTATAAATTAAGGATAAACAAAACACAAGATTATACCTTCACACAGTTGTCGATCCTTACACTCACTCAAGTGAGCCTAAGGAACGACAACTCTGGGTAGAGATTAAACACAAATATGGTATAGTCGTATTATAAGCTTGGTAAGGTTGGATTTGATCGAGTGAATGGATACAATAGTTCCGTCTAAAGATTGTGAATGTAGAGATGGGATTGTTCGAGTACAGATCGTCACGAGTTTTAATCAGAACCATTTTTTTATTGTCTGAAATATCAAAAATCTTAGGGCTCTCGTACAAGGCGAAACAACTCCCCCTCGTGATTGGGAGGTCTTTCATAATATATCTTGCCTATATCTAGTCGAATCCGCCGTTAAAAATAATTTGTCAGAGTTTTCTTTTAGCGATTGTTTTGCTCGGTAAACACTTTTTTGACTTTCCAATTCGGAATCTGCGTATGATAAAGTGTTTCTAATCCGTCGGTCTACCGATGATATAGGATCGGAAATGCTATCTTCTGTGATATTTAGGAACATCGACCTACTATCTTGGGTGCAGCGTGGTAGTCTCTGCACGTTGACGTTGTGGAATCTTGGTGATTCGTCACGCAATTGACATAACAAAGGACCGGACTTACCGATTCAAATACCTGTTTTGAAACAAATTTTGCCTACTTCAAATTTTCTATGTATGGTATAGAAATTCTTTTTGAAGTACCTGAAAAGTCTCCTATTTCAAATTCACACATACACATTCACTTAGTCAAACTCCATCCCCCCCCCTCCCCCCACACACACCCAAGTACTCACAGTGCGCCACCTTTAATAGACCTCATCACAAACTCTTCTACGACATCCATTTTCTAATTGGACAATATTGTCGGGGACTTCGCTTAAATTAGATATGTTTGCGTATGATATGATCTGTATATATACAAAGGAACACGCTTAACAATCAGAAACACGTATATTTACCGAACAATGAGAACATGGAATATTATAAAATATATATAAATTTGAAATCTATCTTTCCGTTAAAGGGTAGAAATCCTACCAAATGAAATAAGAAACGATTTACTTTGGTGACTCTGGAGTCACCAAAGTAGACGTTCGATGACCAATATCGACACTTGAAGTTTAATCGATAACTATTATTCATTTAAAACAGGAAGTGTTTCAAGAAAATCCGTTCAAGTTGACTTTGAACCATCACCCCTCAAAAAATTGCTCTGTTCACAAACATGATTTGGTAAGTACAAGTGAGTTAAAGTTTGTTGCGTTTTAATTCAAAGTATTCATCAATGGTATCATGCAAATCCATTTCTCTCGTTTATGAGTGGTTCAATTTGATTTGTCTTGTTGCCGTCATGATTCATGATACACTTATATTTTATTCGACACATCCATCATATGCAATGATGATATTTCTATTTCTAGATTCAATTTGAATTGCCCTGTGGCCAAACCGTGTGTATCAGGTGCCTTTACCAGAGGAAAAAATACGCTTTCAAAACTTACGGCGAAGGTCCTGATGTCCGTGTCTGCGGATGTGGAGAATATCTGCAGTTGAGACATATTGAGTATTGTATAAGTCAATGTGAACAAAAGGTATGTAATTCAAATGCGGAAACGTTAAGTAACAACGAAAATTTACAATACGGGCGATTCTAAGTCAAAATAAATACAAAAAGAAAGCAAAAAGAGGGGGGATGGGAGGGGGACTGAAAGGATACCGAAGCAATACAGAATGACAGGTGTTCATGAACATGATCGAACATACTATCAAATTACCTACAAAGGCTATTTCAATTGCCACTTTAATGGACGTACGGTGCACAATATCGCCTCGTTAATCAATACTCAATTACTTTTATTTATTCAAAACAGGCACTGTTTCAAGAAAATCCGTTTAAGTTGGTATCGAACCGTCATTCCCTAAAATATTGCTCTATTCACAAACATGATTTGGTAAGTAGCATCGAAAAAGGGATAATGGATTCATTTTTTCATTCAAGTGATTCAAATTTCAATGCACGATTTCAGTTAACTTAACGTATTTTCTTGTTTTTGCTTCCAGAGGAACTCTAAAATCAATATCCCATTTCCGATTCTTAAAGCATTAATGTCTATAAGGCCCCATCGTGGGCCCCACTATATTCGAATTTTCACCACCTTAACTTGTTCAAAGATGTCCTATTGTATTACATGTAAAAAAATTAACCGAAAGTGAGTTTTTGGGGTACCAAAAGGGGAAGGGTAAATCACAAATATAATTTACTGTTTTCAAAATGAGCCATAACAACCACAATAGTGCCATTCTGTTTTTGAAAATGTTTGTAAAACCAAACAGGCATATATAACAAAATGAAAATTGACAGAAATGCAATCGTCACTTAAAGATTGTTTGTATGAAACGGAGGATTGAGTCCGTGTTCTTTAAAGTTCTTTTCAAATGAAAAGTGTTTCGTTTTCTCGATAATATCTTTTGTAATTTATGTATTGAATTGAAATTTATATCTGTACTCATTTGAGTACACTTACATAAAATGAATATTTACTACACATTTTCCTTTTTTTTTTTTTACTGGGTAATGGCTTCTGGTCACATCTCAAACTTGGCAATTTCAAAAACTTCTCTATCTTAAGTGAATTAAAAGGTGATATGAGTCGTGAAACTCTATTTATTAATGTTATGCCAAAGATGTCATGCATATCTATTTTTTTCATTTTAGATTCAATTCGAATTGCCTTGTGACCAAACGGGGTGCATCAGGTGCCTTTACGAGTTTAAAACATACACTTTCAAACCTTCTAATGAAGCGTCTGATGCCAGTGTCTGCTCATGTGGAGGATATCTGCGGTTGAGACATATAGAGGAATGTATAAGTCAATGTGAACAAAAGGTATGTATTTCAAATGCTTATACGTAAGGTAAAAGACAAAATTGTACATTATCATCAGAACTCACAAAAGATTATATCAGAGCTCAAAATCGATAAAAAGGCGGGGCGGAGGGATGGGTTCTGACAAGACACCAAAACATGTTTTAGGAACGCAATCGTTTTCTGTACCTCGTGTTAGCTATAATCTGTACCGGTGTCTGACGTCCAATCAAGGGAAATATGTAGATCATGATCGGTCTACGACACAGTGAACAAGTCGATACTCATGACAGACATCGATGTCTCATTTATTACTTTTTTCGAAATCTTATATTAATAACAAATTGAATAGCAACGCTACTGAACACTTTCCTTTTAATTGGAATACCCATGGGATAATGTTTTGCCGACCATTTGTTTTTGTTTGTGTTTTAATTCTGTTCCTATTTCGAGAAAGTGTCTTAACAGTTAACAAACATAACCAAGTCAACAATTTTCACTTTCAGACATATCGGTAAATTAATTGTTGCCCTTATATAATTGATAATTATCGACCACACCGATGCACAAAGTACATTACGGACTCTTTTTTTTATCCGGCGCTACCACGATGTAATCACTAAATTGTATAAGTGTGACGATTTCGATTGTCTGATAATGAAATATCCCTTTTATCCATGCCTCCCTTTCCTGAAAATATTTTATTTCAATGTGCGTTAGGAATGGCAACGTTTTCGATTATGCTCCTTAGTACGCCTTTTGCTTTCTTTTTCACTACCTCGGTTTGGACTTTGAGGATGTATCTTTTCTTAGATTTGACCTACACACAAGATCTCGAATACTTTTTCTTGTTGCTAGTTTTCTACAATCTTTCGTCATCTTTTGCCATAATTTCATCAATTTTGATTTTTTATAACGGTGCTGTTTTAACTTTCTCTTTGATAATCGATGGTGATTTACTATAAGCTAATTCGTTTGTTCAGTATGACATGGTTGCTACCAAACGATATATCTGCATCGTTGATACACCATTTTTGTACCTGATAGCTTTTTAAAAAGTACATTCATCAGGAACACATTTTGAGTCAGCAAACAGCCTTTACATCACTACGTTCCATTGTAAATTGTTTGTTTCAATTTATGATAAATATTTAAAAGAAAGGTTTTTTTCGGCACTTGCTCGGGTTAAATTCCATATCCCACTGTTTCTCCCATAACTGTAATCTGTAAAGGTCTTTTTGGAGTCTGTATGCATCTTGTAGATTACTTACCGCTAGGTAGATGGCAGTGTCGTCTGCGAAGATACGCACTGTTGATGTTATGTTTAGTGGCAAGTCATTAATGTAAATTTAAAATAAAATTGGGCCGAGGACCGAGCCCTGGTGTACACCTGATGTTACCGGGACTTTTGATGAAGTAGCTCCCTCCAAGGCAACTTGCTGTATTCTGCCTGTAAGAAAGCCTCTGATCCATTTGAGAGTTAGGTGCTGTATCCGGTATTGATGAAGTTTGAATAAAAGGTTTTCGTGGTTTACCTTATCAAAAGCTTTACTAAAATCGAGTAAAATTAAATCTGTTTGCTTACCTGTTTGTAGGTTTTTGAAAAGATCGTCCATAAGCATGACTAGTTGGGTTTCACAACTACGTTTTTCTCTAAAACCGTGCTGGAGTTCAAAAATAATATTATTGGTGTCAAGATGTCTTACCAGGTTTGATGTTACAATCTGCTCCATGACCTTGCACAAAATACAGGTAAGGGAAATGGGGCGATAGTTTGAAGCTCTATTTTTCTCACCTTTCTTGAATAATGGAGCGACGTATGCCGAGGTCCAATGGGATGGGAGCTCACCGGATTGATATGATGCTCGAAATAATACCTGTAAAATAGGTGCCAGTTCACTATGGAGTTCTTTAAGAACTATTGGTTTGATAGCGTCAGGACCGGCCGCTTTATTTGGGTTAAGTTTATAAAGAAGTTTGTCAATACCTGGAACTGAGAAAGTAATGTTTGACATTGGTAGGTACTTACTTTTTTAGTCTTGGGTGGGAATTCCTTGGTCAATGGTTTGTTGTTGACAGAGTTGTTTAAGGCTGAGGGGCGATTTGGGCGTAAAGACCGACTGAAATTGTTCATTTAGGATATTTGGTTTATCTATATTGTCCGTAAACAGCAGGCCATCTCGTTTAAGGGGTTCTATACCTTTGGGGTCTTGTCGACTGTTTTTCAAAAAGCTGAACAATTTCTTTGATGAGTAAGATTTTTGCTCACCTGGTGCTTGTTCGTTTGGTGTTATGATTCCCAGGAGTTCTTCTAAATACCTGTTATGGGATTCTTTAATCATCTTTTGTACCAGGTGTTTGTAGTGCAGGAAGTGTTCCCTGTCTCTTACCTTTTTTGACTTTTTTGTGTTAATAATACAGGCTGTCTCTTTTCCTGATGTGACGTCTAATGTTTTGAGTCATCCAGGGAATGGATTGCTTCGTACCAATTGTTTTTGTTGGAATGGATTCTGAAATGGCTTTATTTAGTTCCGAAATAAATTCTTGCCAAAGAGTTTCAGTGGACTTACCGTGGTGATTTTCGGTGAAAGTTTTTCCGAGTGTGCACATCCTATCCTTGAGTTTCTTCCAGCCCGCCTTTTTGTACATATCAACCTGTCTTGGTTGTTGTTTTTAGGATTTAGAATAGAGACTTACTTCTATATACACTGCATCATGATCTGATAGACCTGGCATATTGGTAACTCGACTAACAAGTGTCGGGTTGTTTGTAAGGAATAAATCCAGAATGTTTTCTTCCCTTGTGGGTTTACTCACCATTTGGACTAAGTTGTTGTCATCCAGCATGTTTATGAAATCTTGGTATATAGGTTGGGCTAGTTGGTCATCCTTTAGAGTGGGAAACGAGTTTTCCCAAGTAAAGTTAGGGTGGTTGAAATCACCTGTAACCCATATATTGGAGTTCTTCTTTATCAAGGCAATTGATTTTGCTAGTTCTTCAGCACTCACCTTGTCATGCTCATTTGGTTTGTAATAAGATGCAATGTATAGTGGTTTGTGGCCACTTATTTCTAGTTTGATCCCTATGACCTCGCAGTTGGTTGTTAGTTGTTGTTGTTCACTGCATATAAGGTCATTTCTTACTAGGAGGAGCACACCACCCCCTCTGCAACCGGATTTCCTATCATACCGGAATGGAGTATAACCGATTGACTGAGGGATAACACACCATCATGAATATTATCTGTAAGCCAGGTCTCTGTGCCTGCTACTATGTCAGGTTTTACGCTTTCCAACATGGCATGGAATACTGCTTTTTTATTTTTAATAAATTGAAAGTTTACATTTAAAACTTTCATTTTACCCGGTTTTCTTGGCTTGTTTTCTTCATTGCCTTTGGGCTTATTTTTTATGGGGGTTGATGTCATTTCTGGCTCGAGATTATCGTTACTCTCTTCCAGTGAGTTAAACAAGTTAGAGGAGGACAGGGATGACAGGGGTGTTTCAAATAACACGTTTGAATAATTTGGGGAACCACAATGCAAGCAGACCCACGAGATACTATCATGATTTGATAAGATATTATGCGTATCAGAACCAATATTTTGACAGTTTGTGTGATACCAAATTTAACATTCAACACATAGTACTCCTTCTTGGTAATATGTGACAGGATCACTACATGTCCCGCATGGGTAATGTGTGGACGACGATGGCCCTGAAGGTCCTGGGTTTACCTCAATGTCTGAGGACATAGAGAGGAGTAACATTGCAAGGTAACAAAGTTTTACCTTTCTCGTCGTGTTGACTGTATATGCCTTAGCTTTGCAAAGTCTGGTTGTACTGACACACTGGACTTGGCACGGCTCCTGGTGTAGATTGTTTACATCCAGTCTGGTTGGTGTGGGAGTGCCGTATGGCGGGAATGGAGGGATATCTGAATGGGGGTGTACGTGAAACACACTGTACATACATAATGACAAAGCAAAAGCACTTACCAGTCCTTCGAACATTGTGATGTTGAATTTTTGTTAGTTTCCGTGTGTAAACAGGAAATAGGTCTGACACATGGCGGGAAGTTCAACGGGATTCAGGTTGATGAAAAAATCTGTTCCAATATGATGAAAATCGCCTAGATTGGTAGAGTGACGAATAAGATGGTGTCTAGTAACCTTTACATACCATAATTTCACAGATCAATGAAATATAAAATGCTTTAAAACAGTGCAGAAGTTTAGTGGGCAGAGAGAAATAAAGAAGACATGTTATGCACGACGCATGCGCACTTTCTTCTCTCGGGATGGGCTATACATGTATTCAAACATCCTTACACGTAGAACAAACTTTGGACTAGAAATCAGCTGTGACATAGCTATAAACGAGGATAAAGTAGGTGGAAAATATCGAAACATTAATTTTATTACCATACATACCCATGGGAACAAAATGTGCATCTAATGGCCGATTTTGAAGCCTTAATTTATTGAACTTAAGAACTTATCAGGACAGGTAACTTGGTCATTAAGAGGTCGTTCATTTTCACTTTCAGCTATACCTACGACACAAAAGGTACACTTTGTTGTCAAAATAAAAAAAGTAGATGACTAAATGTTTTAGATAGGGTACAATTGAAATAAGTTTATAAAAAAAACGACAAGTAAAATTAGCAAACACATCAACATACTAACATTAACATCAGAGTCAATAACATTTTATCTAGAAAAAGCGACCTTTATCCACTTTGTACCCTCAAATATTCAAATGCATGCCTTCCTGTCAAGTAGGTGCCTCAACTAAAGTAAGATGTTTTTCTGAATACTTAATCTTGTTTTTCCGAAAAGAAAAGTAGTATGATCCAACACTACATCCATTTACCCACAACGGCCAATTTAAGCTAGCGGACGTACGGTACAAAATATCGCCTTGTTAAACAATAATCAATCACTATTGTTTATTCAAAACAGGCAGTGTTTCAAGAAAATCCGTTCAAGTTGGCATCGAACCATGATCCCCAAAAATATTGCTTTGTTCACAAACATGATTTGGTAAGTAGTATCGAATAGCTGTTAGTTAACTCACATTTTTTCATTTAAGTGATTCAATTGTCAATGCTCAATTTCGATTAACTTAACATATTTTCTCGTGTTTGTTTCTATTGGAACTTTACAGTTATTTGTTTAAGCTTTTGTTAAATTACATATTATATTGTATTTGATCGTTTCCTGTGGATGCTTTCTTAATAATAGTCTTAATAATCACGAAATTAACACAATTCTGATATGTTAAAAATAACAGTCGAGATGGCATTCTGTGATTATATGTCGTAATACTCTATTTTGGCAATTTGGCTATATTCCAGGATTGCTCTGGGGTCTTGCCCCACCCTTGGAGATATGGTCCCTGGGTCAAAACTTTGAAACGGTTGAGATCCCCACCCCAGAACTATATATACAAATGCCGGGCATAAAGAGACGAATGCAGTCATGATATTAGAATAGACCCTGGGGTCTGACCGAACCCCTACGGACCTAGTTCCTTAGTCACAGGTTGGAAACAGTTGAGATCCCCACCCTATAACCATATATACAATTGCTGAGTATAAATAGATGAATGCACATATGCTTCAAGGATGGCCTTGGGGTCTGCTCCACCCTTGGAGACTTTACCCCTGGGTCATAACTTCGAAATGGGTAAGATCCCCACCCCAAAACTATATATAAAATGGTTGGGCATAAAGAGACGAATGCAGTGATGGTATTAAAATTGACCCCAGGGTCTGCCCCACCCTTGCAGACTAAATCCCTGGTCATAACTTTGAAACGGTTGAGATCCCCAACCCAAAACTTTAAATACAAATGTTGGGCAAAAGAGACAAATGCAGTCATGATATTAGAATTGATCCTGGGTTCTGGCAACAACCCTATGGACCTAGTTTCTGAGTCACAGCTTGGAAACAATTGAGATCCCCACCCCATAACCATACATATAATTGCTGGGCATGAAAAAACTAATACAGATATGCTACAAGGATTAGCCTTGGGGTCTGGCATATTCCCTTGGATCTCATTTAGAGAATATTTGCCATGATTGCTTAGATATCCAAGTGATCGGTACAGGCCCTCTGGGTCTCTTGTTTGTAGGTTCAATTTGAATTGCTTTGTTGCCGTCATGAGTCGTGATACTCTCTATATTAATGTTATGACAACGATGTTATGCATATCTATTATTTTTTTCATTTTAGATTCAATTCGAATTGCCTTGTGACCAAACGGGGTGCATCAGGTGCCTTTACGAGTTTAAAACATACACTTTCAAACCTTCTAATGAAGCGTCTGATGCCAGTGTCTGCTCATGTGGAGGATATCTGCGGTTGAGACATATAGAGGAATGTATAAGTCAATGTGAACAAAAGGTATGTATTTCAAATGCTTATACGTAAGGTAAAAGACAAAATTGTACATTATCATCAGAACTCACAAAAGATTATATCAGAGCTCAAAATCGATAAAAAGGCGGGGCGGAGGGATGGGTTCTGACAAGACACCAAAACATGTTTTAGGAACGCAATCGTTTTCTGTACCTCGTGTTAGCTATAATCTGTACCGGTGTCTGACGTCCAATCAAGGGAAATATGTAGATCATGATCGGTCTACGACACAGTGAACAAGTCGATACTCATGACAGACATCGATGTCTCATTTATTACTTTTTTCGAAATCTTATATTAATAACAAATTGAATAGCAACGCTACTGAACACTTTCCTTTTAATTGGAATACCCATGGGATAATGTTTTGCCGACCATTTGTTTTTGTTTGTGTTTTAATTCTGTTCCTATTTCGAGAAAGTGTCTTAACAGTTAACAAACATAACCAAGTCAACAATTTTCACTTTCAGACATATCGGTAAATTAATTGTTGCCCTTATATAATTGATAATTATCGACCACACCGATGCACAAAGTACATTACGGACTCTTTTTTTTATCCGGCGCTACCACGATGTAATCACTAAATTGTATAAGTGTGACGATTTCGATTGTCTGATAATGAAATATCCCTTTTATCCATGCCTCCCTTTCCTGAAAATATTTTATTTCAATGTGCGTTAGGAATGGCAACGTTTTCGATTATGCTCCTTAGTACGCCTTTTGCTTTCTTTTTCACTACCTCGGTTTGGACTTAGAGGATGTATCTTTTCTTAGATTTGACCTACACACAAGATCTCGAATACTTTTTCTTGTTGCTAGTTTTCTACAATCTTTCGTCATCTTTTGCCATAATTTCATCAATTTTGATTTTTTATAACGGTGCTGTTTTAACTTTCTCTTTGATAATCGATGGTGATTTACTATAAGCTAATTCGTTTGTTCAGTATGACATGGTTGCTACCAAACGATATATCTGCATCGTTGATACACCATTTTTGTACCTGATAGCTTTTTAAAAAGTACATTCATCAGGAACACATTTTGAGTCAGCAAACAGCCTTTACATCACTACGTTCCATTGTAAATTGTTTGTTTCAATTTATGATAAATATTTAAAAGAAAGGTTTTTTTCTCAGTCTCCGCCGACCACTTGCCTTTTTAAACATTTAAAAAACAAGCCGACATAGTTATTTACGATTTAACGGTAACCTATACATTATTGATATCAGTATAATATCCATATAAAATTTACTTTCCATTGTTTTGGATATTTTTACATTTTAATTTAAAAACGATAATTAATGTAAGTAGAGCAATTATCAACATATTCTATTTTATGTGTTAATCAGTTCGTGCAATACGGCACTTACATCAAGGTTTTTGTCTGGTGTTTATTAAAATAAAATATGTACAGTAATATATGCATGTAAAACCATACAAAACTATTAATTTTGTACACAGGCTGCAGATTTGAGGGTCTTCAGTCCTACGAAAGACAACAATGGTTTCTCTATACATCCTGATTCAGAGGTATGTATCACATTCACACTCAGTTTTTATACCAATGCAATTTAAATATGCATAACTTCTTGCGTCTACTTTTATAGCCAATTATTTATCAGTCCTTTCATATCATTTTTGTGTCACCTGCAACTTGGTACACTCATTGCATACCAATACATTTCAGAACATTTCAGATGTTTAAGTGCATGTTTGGCGTTTATTAATCAAGTTAACCGCTCATACAAAATGAAAGCATACGGCAGGAAAACCTACACATTACATATTCTTTAAGGATGAACGTAACACACGCACACAGGTGATTTCACCTTTCAAGATTTGGTAATTCATAGAGTTCTCTAAAATGAATTACTCTGCGTCATACAACTGTTTCATCTTTCTATAACTCATCGGTGATTCTAAGGCCCAGAAAATTAGAAATACAAACCGGTCTAAACTAAGACATTATGAGTGTTGTGGTGGATTATCACATGATTACATAATGAAAATACAGTATGTTGCTTTATATACATGTAGCTGTATATCCTGTTAATACAAACAAACACAGACACATGAACGCATGAACTTGTGCATGTGTTGTACACGTCCACGCACGTTTTCATGCACACCCGAACGTACAAAAGCACGTTTGAATACGTCTGTTGATTTACGGTATATTTTGAATTACAACCCCTGATTACAATCACAGAGTAAAGTACAAACGCACGCACACATACAAATATGACTTTTTCATTTTAATTACACCAAATGTGTTTGATAACATCAACTGTAAAGGCAGGCTGATTCAGTTACAGAGTGAGGGTTAGTGACGTCATCAGATCATAATCGTATATAAGTTATATATGAGGCACTATACACATTCAGTAAATGTGGCAGGCTATTTTGATGATTCATTATCCATTTTATAAGTCAAACAAATCTTTGAAGACTTTGTAAGACTACGGTTGTATTTTATAAAGTACATAGGAAAAGAAGATGTTTCTTGATAAAAAAAAAAAAACTTTCTTACAAATCTGCGTCTTTTATGTAGTTATTTATTTTTGTACTCAGCATATGTGTAAATATTTAAGCATTAAACTGCTTTCAATTGGCATTCATATTGTGAACTTTGAATAATATTTCTGTTCATGTTTTAAAAACAAAAATCAACTCTTTGTATAAATATATCAGAACTCGGGTGACCGTTAAGACCCATGGGCCTCTTGTTTTCTATATATATTTGTAGGTTCAGGTACAAATGGTGTGTGGCCAAAAGGTTTACATACCATGTCTTCAATCTAACATCGTTGAGTTGTGTTTGAAATGTGACTGTTTCATCTTCGGATGTGAAATTGACAAATACATAATGGAATTTGATGAGTTCAGCACAAAAATAAAAAAATATATAGTTTTAATCCACACTTATCATTGCCAGTATTGACGATGTTTTGACATTTCTTTTTGATATGATTGTACTTCAAAAATATACTATACCATCTTCTTTGTAGTTAGAGATGGAATGAGTTCGCGTTAAGAGACTGAAATGTACCATGGACCGACACTCTCATCGCGTGTTTTTACAATAAGAATAGTTTTATTAAAATCGGGTTAAGTGAAATATGCCACTATTAGATCATGAATTCAATATTTAAATCAGATATTGCTACGACTGCCATAGGTGACACTTATTAAAAAGCGAACGGACATGACAATATAGGTATAAGATCTCACTTTTTATTTTAAAGTACAGCGCCGCTAACCTTCTCTCATTCTTGTGCCGTATTGCGTCGTCCGTCGTCCGTCCGTCAACTTTCCTTTGAAACGCTACTAGTCCTGACAGATTGATGGATTTTTACTAGATTTGACTTAATTTGGCCAGGAGCATCCTTGGGTAAAGGGGACAAAATGGAGGGTGTGGTCCCTCTGGGTGCACAGTGGCGGGGTCCAGTAATGGACTGTGAGGTTTGAATCTTTGAATTCCTTCCTCTTCTGGACCATTGGAGGGATTCAAACCTCAAATTTCGTTATTGGGCCCCACCCCTCTGCACCCATAGGCCCAATAAGGGAAACGTAGTAATAAATTATTAAAATCCTTCTCCTTTAGTATAATTTGACGGATATTAAACAAATTCTGTTTAGAGCATCCTTGGGTGAAGGAAACTCAATTTTGTATAAACAGAGAGTGTGGCCCGCCTTGGGGCAGAAGGGTGAGGCACAATAGGGGAAATTCAGGTAAATCTTTAAAATTCTTCTCCATCATTTTGATAGGAGGAATTTTAACCACAATTTGTGTAGAGCATCCTTGGGTGAAGGAAACTCAATTTTGTATAAACGGAGAGTGTGGCCCGCCTTGGGGCAGAAGGGTGAGGCACAATACGGGAAATTCAGGTAAATCTTTAAAATACTTCTCCATCATTTTGATAGGAGGAATTATAAACACAATTTGTGTAGAGCATCCTTGGGTGAAGGAAACTCAATTTTGTATAAATTTAGTTTGCCGCCTGCCTTTGGGAAGAAGGGTTGGGTCCAATAAAGGAACTTGTGGCAATTTCCAAAAGTCCTTACTTTTTTCCATACTAAAACGTTGTCGACCAAGCAGGCAGACTGAACGTCGAGAAAAGGTTTTTCTTGACAGATGATAACTGAATCAGCTAAGAATAGCACTCGGCACGTTTATTGTGAAAACATTTCTTCTGACACAGTAAAATAAGATATGGTCGCTATTCGTTGGATTCAGCTCTCGTGACCTCTTTGCGCATGCATAATAATGACGTTAACATGGCCTCAATCCTGATTCTTATAAGATAAGTAGCTGTCGGTAAAATACCTCGCACGCTTACCCATGACATAAATATAAGTAATTGTTAAATGTTTTTAAAACGATATACTTAAAGGTCTATTCAATTATAAGACTTCAATATTAACCAAAGTTTTCCGACAGGTTAAGGCACGATATCTATAGCAGAAATGTACAAATAATGTATGATTAATAAAAAACTTTTTTTTTTATTTCAAGACCGCAGCAGTGTTGAGACATACTTGGACCTATATAAATGATGATGGTTCTTGCCCAAAGCACAACCACAGCAAGGTTCGTTTGATTAAAAGGTGGCATGTTGGCATAATGAAATTATAACCTATATGACATAACTGTTTCGACCGCAATGCTTCCTTTTCAAGTTCAAAAAGATTAATTTACCATACCCATGTGTGTTGGAAGAATTATAATTATATAGAAACACGTGTCGTTGTTTTTGACATGTAAATAGTATCTTAAAAAAATGGTTCTAAAATTTATAAATTTCACAAAGCCCCATAAACTGAAATACGGTATTTGGACTTTTTTTCAGAAATAATTATTAAGATTAAGGACATGATCAAATCTGCTTTCCTATGTTTAGAATTAAGAATAGTTAGATATTTCAAATAATAGTTATAATATGAACTTGAAACAATGATATGCTAAAAACAAAAGTTCATGGATTTTTAACTCGAAATATGAATTTTCAGTAGACGGCCTTGAATACATAATAGAGACTGACAGTAATTACAACATTAATCATTCTAGTAATGAATATAAGCAATGCATTTAATACTCTATAGCAAGAATGTCTCAAAAATTGGTTTTATAGGATTAATTTATCAGTAGTTGGTTGAAACAATTAAACTTACTTCAATCTTACATCTTTTTGTCCATAAAGGAAATAACTTCAGTTATTAAAAAAATGTTTTTAGATACATTCATCTGCATATGACATATTGAACGTGGCCGTTATATACATTCACCATAATTTTACAATGATCTCCATATGAATATTTCCCGTATTCATAATTTGTCGTTGCTTTTATAGGTTTTGATTTCAAATTACGGTTTTGTAGATAATTCGGTGTTCTACTGCTGTTTTTGTATAAGTGTTGAAAGAAACAAAACTTGTATAAAGTGTTGTGTCAGTATATTTGTCACAAATACGTAATTATAAGATAATTTTAATCTTGAAGACATGCTGATTACATCACCAAGTGGATTGCGTAACCATACGTGTTCATTTCGCTGGAGCCAAAATACTAGTTTGTGAAGTAAAAACGGCGCCTGACGGTGCCAACAGCACGATTAAAGTAATCTTGAATTATAATAAGATTCTAGTTTCTTGCAGGCATGTTCAAAATTATTATATTCATAGGTAAATTATCCATGGTTTCACTACTTTACTTGCACACTGTATAGTTAAGAGCTGTTGAACGCTTTCTCACGTTTCAGTACAAATATTTAGTTATTAAATTTGTCTCTAGTATTTTGTAATAATAAACCGACAAACGATGAGCCGAAAGGGTAGAGCATCATCTGCTTCATTGACGACACATGTCGTGTAGAGAGTCGGAATAGTGACACTTCATAGGGCACACTGATGAGAATAAGCAAAACCATCATATCTAACACTAAAATCGAACATTTCCCAACGTAAGCTTGACTATCAGCATCCTGAATCTATCACGAAACTCCTGGTATTCTGAACAAGCTCCCAAATATCCAATCAAGTTCGACATATAGAAACCGTTGATGGGTAGAGCAAGGATGATACTCTCAAGAAATGGAAAGTTAACCATTAAAATTTCGAAATCAACATGCTTATAATACACCTTAGTCCCTGTCAAGTTGTTGGTGAAAAATTGACGTTAACAGTTAATGTAGAAGTCTATTGTTACTCTGATTAAGTAGTGTAAATTTGACTAATACATTTTTAACGACTTATCTACATTTTCTCCAATTATCATCACCTAGTTGATGTAAATTGACAATGTTTTCTTTTCTCGATGATATTTTACTATTAAAGATTGGCTACTTTTTTAATCTTAAGTTAGATCCACAGTGAATATACATTTAGTAAACAATGTAAATTCAAATTGAATCACGATTGACCAGAATTTTGTTTTTTCGAAAATCGAAATATAATGTCCTTTATACGACCTTAAACATTTTGCTGGGACGTATTATTGTATGGGGAGCATCCGTCCGTCCGTCTGTCCATCCGTCCGTCTACACCGTGGTTTCCGCAAGATAACTTGCTTAAATATCGTTCGAGTTTTCTGAAACTTGGTGTGCATGTACACTATACAAAATATAAGGCCAAGTAAGAAGCTGAGAAAAATCCAATATTTACAAATTGTCAAATAGCGAAATCTGCAAGTAATTAATGAGCAATGAAATACATTTGGTTTTAATGGTTTAAGATTAATCAATTATTGGCAAAAAGGGGTAATTTCAATTTAAATTGTCATGGTTTGAAATATATACACAGGGAGACAATTCCTATGAAAATATATATTTTTTTAAATCATAAAGGAGATATGTCAATTTATTCCTTCAGCTGAAGTTGGTCCAGTACAGTATGTTTTCCCCTTTCACAACACTTCAGTAATAGCTCTCAACTTCAATGAATAATACAGTACAAATGTTGTCTTTCTTCTCACGTTCCCATATTTTCATACATTTAGATACATATGTACAATACTGCATCAGAAGAATTTTAAGTATGTCAGATTGGCATGGAACGGGCGTATATCGTAGAACTATTTCAAGTCATAATTATTTACATACATAAACGTTGCGACCGGTCACCTTCTTTGCTTTTTTGGATCCTTTTGAATGAAGGAATCGTAAGTACACTAGAGATGCTTCACAAGGGGTATGATAAACGGGTTGTGATAAAGGGATGTTACATATAAGAGATGAACATATATACTAACAATCTGTGTCTATTAAAAAATATACACTCAGAAAATAGTGTACAACAGTTTTTTGAATCAACTGATTTCAAAATATCTATATAGAGTTTACATCCAATTCCATCGCGAAGGAAAAGACAGTCTTTTATTTGTCTGTTTAAGCAAAGTGTATCTTTACGGTTCCGCATTCTTTTCCAGTCATATATTTAACTCTATCCTTGTCATTTATTTTAGATCTTGTTGTTGTAGGTGTGCTTAAAACTTTCATGCGGGAAGACTTTTTGTCATCAATGCATTCAAACATCAGTTCGCATTCTGGAGAGCCCGCTCAGACGAGAGAAACAAGATCACATTATATGTAACTGTTCCGTTGGTCGAATCCTCAAAAGTGAAATCACGAGTTGGATTGAAAACTTGCCAAAGGTAAATATTACAAATTACAATGAGCCTAAAACAGTTAGTTATATGAAAGTTTAAATTGTTAAGATTGTATACAGAATACAAACAGTTGTTTGATAAAATGTATATGTCAAAAGACGAATGCCTCAGTTTTGTATTATGTGCATCAGTTTCAAACCTTAATGCAAAGGTGTTTGCTATAATGTATTTGCAGAGAAAAATCATAGGGCAGAGGTTGTTTGTAAGCTACTGTTAATTTGTACAAAAGTATTAGCTACAAAATCAATCAACAATTGAAACAATTTTTACAGAAATAAAGGAACGATATAAAACACATATCGTCAAAAAGGAAACAGAGTAATGACACGAACATATAACATGTAAAGTAGTTTATGAAAAATAATTCAAAATATAAGCAACTATCAATTTGTATCTGTCGCAACTTTGCCATACACTATTTTAGGAAATACTTATAAATACCTCGACTCTAAAATACGATTGCGATCCCTCAAAAAACGGAAATACCAAGGAATTCAGATTTATACATGTTGTTAATTTACAAGCAAACGTAATATATATAAATGACGTGTGCAGAAAACTTGCAAGTATAGCAAGGGGCATGGGAAGATAAAGAATCAATATGTATTGCCTTTCTAACACAGTGGAGTAAACTTTCTTTTTGCAAGATTGTAGATATTCTAATAATTCAGATACATAAAGTCACAGAAGTATGACTCGCAAGTCACTGGATGCATATGAAATCGATACCAGTTCACTATGTATGATTACTGAAATTTTTTACGTTTTATTAGAGATGTAACAGGTATTTAAACCAGCATTTTTTTCTTCAATAGTCTATCACAGAAGCACGGATTCTTCAACGATTCAACCAAAATAAAGAGTGCCCCGAACACCATATGGCTATTGTAAGTATAATGAATATGAATTCCGAGGTCAGTATATTTGTATCTCTGCTGATTTTAAATGTATTGTAAAGGTACCAAATTCCTTTTTGGTAGATTTCATTAAACCGATTTTAATGAAATGAAATTGACAGCTGGTGAACGCTTACGGATTGTGGACACTATCAGGAAAGATATCTTTTACAGAGCGGGTATACTTTACTATACAAAATGTAACAATCAATTATGCAATAGAGCAAATCTTCATCGAACATAAAATCCTATTCTAATAGAAGCAGGTGCCCGATCGAAGCTCTGTAATGGTAATACAAGCGTCGTGCGTAAAAAAAAAGTAGAGGGCTATTACCCTTGCTATGTGTTGCCCTTGAAGTTCTTTCATTCTAGTAACTGGAAGCAGAACTTATAAAGTAAAAGCAGGAAGAATACACTAGAACCGCGGTAAAAACATAACAGCTTCAACATTTCTAAAAATCCAAATTAATCTTAAAACTATTTTCAATGACGTTTCTGAGTGAGAGAAATTTTCAACACAAAATAAAAAGAATATTTTCTATCTTTTCAGATTACATAAACATATATTTTGAGAGTAAGCATCAATAGATAGTAAGATTGATACATGTTTCAAACATGGTGCCGGACTTCTTCCATGTTTACTTTACGCTTCAGCGGGATAACAGTCATTTCTTGATACCTAAACATTTTGAAAAATGGAACATATTCGGAATCAATCATGTCTAATTCTATAACGTTATGATGCTGACAGACTTCTTATTCCATGGATGCACATTGGCGTGTTCGTAAAGTAAACAGATTGCGTCATTATTGGAGCAGTCTGCCAATTCGCGTGCATTTATATTTCAAAAACTATCATAAGGAAGACAATGTTGTTCAAAGTATATTTTCTTAATTAACAAATATATCAGTAAAGATTCACTTGAACTATATTATCGTAGTAACCACGGCTACCGTAGTTACCATGTTAGCAACTCACAATAACAGTATTTTGCCACTACGTACTACGTTCAAACTATCGTATACGCCGTCACATTGAAGACCGAGCCATATGTGATACTGTGATGATTGCAACCCAGTTCAGATACAGTGTATTATCAAACTATGACGTCAAAAACCACGTCATATTTCATTCGGCCTTCTACGGGTTATCTGCTTGCGGACATGCTCAAATCTAATGAAAATGCGGATTTTGTGTGAAGGAATATTTTTTAATGATAAAAAATTCTGCCGAAAGATATTTCTAAACTAAGCAACTGAATACCATAATATGTTTTTAAAGGACAAGTTTCCAAAATGTACAGCTATGCGTAGTCCAAGCTTATAAGATAGTCATTAGGGTATAAACAGCTCATGGTATAAGGAAAAACGTGAGGTAGGTGTAGATCTACGTAAGTTAAATTAAGTCCTCGGCTCTCCCGTTTGAGAATATGAACGAAATAGTCAACATTTTTAAAGACTGGATTTATTGATTGACTGTTTCATTTGAATAGTTACATAAATTATTTACAAATAACTACATGTAGTCAGAAAAGAAACAAAAAAGTATTCAGGTAGAAATCTACAAGGAGTTGTCCAGACGGCTAACACGAGCCCAAAAGCCATTTTCGCCTACGTTATTATTCTAAACGCTGCGTGCTGATTTGTATAAAGTATATTATACAAACACTTATATAGTGAATATCATTCCTCCATGTTGTAATTTAACGGATATAAAATCCTCGAATATTTTAAGTCCAACGTTCCGCATCCAGTCCACTAATGCAAACCATCTTGGATTATTGATAACTTGATATTTTACAAGTGTGCAAGGCTCCCCTGTGATGTGCTCCTGTGTCGTCAATGTATCGTCAAATTAAAAGAGGAAGCCAAAATTCGCCATACACGAGAACCCATCAATCGAAAACAACCGTATGCAGCAGATTGTACAGGTTGCAGTGATAAAATTCCTGGAGAAGTGCTGGAGTCATTTCTAAAAGAGGTAGTCATTTGAGTGATTTAATGCTATTTTCCAATTAAAAACGTTCAAGTCAAAAATAACCATAATTTTGTGTAAAATACTCCCAAGTCGACTTTGAAAAGTTCTTTTTTTACACAACCAATACAATTTTCTATGTGACGTTTCTATGACTAGTACGATATGTGTACACTGTCACTTTTTTTTTTCCTTTAAAAATTGTACTTGATATCATTAATTATTGTGTAATTATACAGGCATTAAAATAACTTCCCATAGAGTATTCTTTCTGTCCTTTTCGGTTACATAATAGAACTATTTTGAAATAAAATACAGAAGTTTATAAGAATAAGAGAATAGGTATAAGTACATGTGTATCAAACGAAAACTAGTCCATATAACTTTGATAAGCTAATGCAAACAACAATAAATAAGTATCCAATCCTAAAGTTTATATGGCAAATTCTTGTTTTGTCTGTTTGGTAAGGGAATATTTTCGTTATTGTTTTCCGACATTTAATATTGCTTGTGATTTTTTAAGGATTAATAAATTTGTACAGTTTCATAGGATCACATGAGTTTCCAGTTAATATATTATTTATAATGCGAAAACAAATTTCAGCAAGCCTCCGGCGAACAGCAATTAGAAAATGACGAATCTTTTGTTAACCAGTTTTTTGTTGCTAATAATCGCGATAAAATATATCCTCAGGCTGACGTGGAATTTAAATATCAACAGTTGACTAAAAGCAATTTTCTTTTGTAACATAACACATCAGTTGTAAAGCTATGAAGTCATGAATTTATTGATGTGACGCCATTTTTAAAACAATTGAAACCTAAATATAGCTCCACGTTGTTAGTAACACAAATACTAGGATAGTAACTTGATAAAAAGAAATAAAAGCATATCAATACAATACGATTTTATTTCATACCTAGGGTCTTCAAGATTTCCAACGTCACAACCGTAAATGCTGGTGCAGGAAACACAAACACCATAAGGTATACATGTATTTAGTGTTTTACAGCAAATATCTATATCTTAAATATAAGAGCTATGGTACAGTTTCTATTCATCATATTCGTGGATAATTTATCTTAATTGTTATCTATGTTGTTAATATTTAGTAAAGAACTTGTTTTTCTCTTTTTCTTTTTATAGTAAAAAAAAATCGATGGAAGTTTATATAAAACTTAATTGCACGAAATAATTATGAAAGTGATAATTTTGTGTTATTAAAATCACAATATTTTTTCTTTCCAAAAAAGGATTCCATTATGCACTAAATTACATATCATAAATATATACGTCAATCACTTCAAACAATGTCTTAATTGCATGTGTCGTTGATATTTTCCATCTTCAATATATGTATATATCGATATTTAGATTGTCGTGACAACTTTAAAGAACGATCTTCTATGCAAGCTGTGTTTGGAGTTAGCCGTTGAATCAAACTTTTCATTAGATGGAGAAAGTTGGAGTATTGAGGATTCTGCAAAACTTTTTGAAGACGCTCCACATGATGTAAATTTTGCTTTAAAAAATATTTCTTGTATTATAGTTATTATTATTTTGTTAAATATGCTTATTTTTTCTGCATGTTGACATATAAATGTATCTTAAGTTTACGGGTTTATACATATAAGAAGTGAACGGCATTTTCTTTCATGTCATACCAACATGAACTTTGAAAAAAACCCTTTAATCCTCATATTTAAATTCTTAATATTCAGTTATGATTGACCTTAATATAGATATTCCCTTATATTGAAGTGTCTGTGTCCTCAGCGCTAGCAAGATTCCTGGAACAACCTAACATCACCAACACGTATTATTCTAGCGCCTGTCTCATGTTAATCGAGGCGGGAGGGGAAGCTTCAAGATGACACTGATCGAATTGTGTTCATAGCTCATGGTGATACTTATAGATGGACATGTAGTGGAAAAATAAATATATTTCCATAAATGCAATGTTAAGAATATCCAGAGTTTGGGGAACTTAGGACCAACTCCCCAATGATAGTCCTTTCATAGGCGGGCGTTCGTACATGACACTCAGTCTTACTCAGCATAAAAACCGTACTTAACCTTATCGTCTCATATTTCGGGTATGCTTATATACTGTTGTTAATTTAAAATTGGTTTTCTTATATTTTTCACCTACTCCTCCGTCAGCACCACTCCAAGGTGAAATCATAAGCATCCTAAATAAAGTGACAGGTAACAAAGAACCTTCAAAAAAACAAGAATACATATCGTAACATCGTCATTTTGAAGTATACACATTTGTCGGGTGGGTATTACCTAAATAGACATATAAGCAACCAAGTAATAACAACAATTGAACAAACAACAATTGAACAATAACAGTTGTCGATTTCACGAGGCAATCCAGCCTTTTATGAAGACGTTACATTAAGATAAAAAAATCCATAGCAGACAATACAAAACAATAAATCAACTGATTTTATATGTCAATGTTAAAGCAATTCGTTTTGAGCAACTGGGAGTTGAAGGCGGTTCATCATGTAAACTTCATCCGCAGATTGTTTACAAAAGTGAAGTTAAAGTATATAATCTGAATTGTTGGTTAATATTCAAACGATGTTGTGCGTTCTGTGATCAGGTGTGAAAAAGTTAACTTGAAAAATAAACACTGTGTTTCGGCACGACGGTTCTAAATCTAAGCTCCGTGAGATCACATTGCAACTCATTTTACATTGATTTAAATTGGAGGTAAATGTACATGTATGTAGGCTATCACATTTTCAGTGTAGGTCAGAAGGTTTTGTTCGTAAAGCATGACAATGAACAAATATAATTATATCAAAATACGTAATAAGAAATGTTCACGAATGAAATATATTTATGTTGAATTTTTATCTTTAAGTATACAAATGGGATATGTTGCTTTTGTTTAAATTTAATGCATGTTTTCTGTTTGTAGGAACTGTTTAGTACCGTAAAAGAAAAACGACCCTGTGACTGCGGCACCTGGCAGGTACGCTGATGAATCAGACATTTTTTTTGTAAAAATGAATGCATTTAAGGAATACCGATGATAATGTTTTGGGTAAAGCGGTATATATGCCAAAATGTATGCACTTTATACAAATCCGCAGTTATGATTGATGAATTATTATCGTTAATCTCTTTTTTTGAAATCAAGAATTTTGCACAAAACACGACAGTGAGCTGTGATTTCATCAACGAGCAACGGGCAGCTATATGGAATTTTAATGTGAACGATCGTTAACGATATTTGCCAGAAAATACTGGAGGGATTTTACGCCTTTAGTTTTGCATGTTAAATATTAGGATTGATTGGAAACACAAGAGAGATGACAGTTTGTTTTGCATTTGCAAGAGCATTGTTCTATTTTTTTTCATTTCGCCTGTTTTGGCTTGAACAGGCTCAGGCAAAATTACCATGCGGCCTGTTGGTCTGCCATCACTGTGTCTATAAATTGGATCAGAAACATCGCAAGACAGGGGGATGTCTCTGCCCAAAATGCAGCGAGGTCATAGCAGCACAAAGTCTACAAATGTTCTTGGAAAAGGTTAGTTTATTTCTAAAAATAGTATTTGAATTTTCTCTTCACTTATTTTGAAAATTTGTGCATATATGGCAATCTTTAATGAAAAACGTGCTCAAACAAATATGCTAATAAGCATTTTATTATGAGTTGACAACACATTGTCATCAATGGGGAAAAAACAAGTAACCGTTATGGAATAAGTATTGCAGGTGTGTCATATGTTGGGTTATAACAATTTACCCCTGGTCCGAATAATTTGTCTAAAGAAAAAATGAAGAAGGCAGATTAATGTTTTTGCAGCGTCTATGTTAAAAACACAAAACAGCGAATATGCAGTAGTTGACAATCAGTCAAGGAAAGTCCTAGAGTAAAATGACACTTAGTTTGTTTAGTTGAGCCTTATATTATCATATTTCAATCTCTTTTGTAGTTAAACTAAATGCTACGAAATGACACATATATATCCCTATTTATAACCCCTTTCCTGAGTAAGCATTTCACATGATTTTAGCACATCTATAGTATTTACAATAACACTTAACTCCTTTATGAGTTAGACAGCAAGCTACTACTCGGTAAAATATACCTGGGGTACCTATACAGGTGTCAATTAATAACTCGAAACACGAAGTAAATTTCGATCATCTATTGAAATATTACAGTTGTGGGATCGCACAACATTACACAATGTGGGGTGTGCGCGCGTTATGCGCACTGTGAGTGCACTTTGTGCTAACGATGAAAATGTGGACGGTAAGTGCTTGCGCACATATGTTCGGACGATGGACGAACGTTGTGCGATGACAATCGTGGTCGATGAAAATTGAGAAATAGCTTAACAATAAAAACGGTTTCGTTTTTAAATATATTAACTTGTTTTTTAAGTATGTTTCTATATTCCAGCTACATATATAAGCTGGTCTTTCTATCTATATTTTCTTAAATTTAGAAATAGTGTTTTGGGTTTTTTAACGACCCAAATTGACACATGTTAGATTATGACACATCTGTGCGCGGTATAAGGTAGTACTAATATTAAAACCCGGCCTCCTCTGCCCCGATAAAAAACAATCTCTCGTCGTCAGAAAGCTACGTTATCGCAGTTAGGCGCCAAGTAAATCTCCGTTCACTCAAAATATCTTTTACCTGTTCTGTTACCTGCATGGGAACCATAACGGTCACTGTAATACTGTGTAACACTCATTGTAAAATTGAACATAATTATTCTAATCAGATACGATGAGAAATTGATAAAATTCAGTGTTCCTTATTCCATACGAGCCTTCTGGATTTTTTTATTCCGTTATATTTATAACCAATTGTGCGGTCACACAACTGTAAGTTGATGCAGAAACCCAACTAAAGGTATACTTAATAAGTAACATTTACTGCACCATACTGACAGTACACTCATTTAGGGCTCATCAGAGGTACAGAATGTACAAAATGTCAAAAGATGAAAATTTAACTCATGAAAAACATGTAGAAATGTATCAAAAGTGGTACGGTACATATAAAACCATTATAACGTTACAAATTTGCAACCACTGACTATAATAGTTGATGTCTATTCTTAAACAAGTATTTGATATTTTTGCACTTAATCAGGTATTGTAACCTAACAGCTATCTAGTATCACTGGTTCAGGTCGATGTGTCTATATATAGCAACCATAACATGCAATTAGCAAATGATCAGGTACAATCAACTTATTATACCATTTGGTGTTTACCTGTACATGTTCAGTATATATTAATGGATTTATACACTTTAGTTTGAAAGAGAAGACTTTTCTTCATTGAAATTTTCTATTTTGTTCAAGTTATATGATAATTTTATATTTGTTCTTGATCTTCAAGCATTTATTATTAGTTAAAAGACTTTTTTTATTTCGCTCGGACGATATTTTATCTTGTTCTACATATACGACTTAATATTTATGTTTTATTTCCTAAAATAAATCGAATAAGCTTTCGTAGTTTATGTACTCAACATGACAAAAAAAATTAATGTAGCTGCATTCAATACATTTTATTGAAATTTACTGACGATTACTTTCAATCTGTGTTATTCATATATTAAAAGATAATATTTTATATGAATGAAAATATTTTATATTTGAAAGCATTCCAACTAATGTTTTTAAACATGCACTATATCTATTATGTATGTATACTTGAATTAAATAAAGCATTATTTTTTGCATTCATAAATCATGCTGATGGTTTGTTATCTGATATCAAAATTTTCAAAAAGATGTGATATCAATACATTTTGACCGGAAAATTAACATATTTCTAGAAAAGGAGAATATTAAATATTTTAATGTTTATCCAATTATGAAGTTGTATTTATTGTTAAAATGTTTTTTTATTATTATTATCATCCCCTATAATATCGCATTAATAACATGTTTTATCATTTGATTCGCATGTTATGAGTTGTCCTCAAGTGTATTTTTATATTTTCTTTTTCAGTATGATGATTCAGAATGCTATGTGAACACTACTTCCAGGAAAGGAAATTGCCATGAACACAGACATTGGAAGGTACTGTTACTCAGCCTAATGCCGTCAGTTTGTATTTTTATTCAGCAAAACAGTATTAATCTGTTATGCATGCGGTATCATTGGAATACGTTATAAGACGTTTACACATTAAGAACCTAGCTACGATTTTCAAAAATTTAAGAATTGGTTATGAATGAATTTGTGAAACTCAGATGAACATCCATCTGTTAATCCTCCAAAAAAAAAACAAGTGAAGCAAATAGTATCAACACAATTGCTGAGTATCTCAAGACTCATTCTATATTATGTTGTATATTTAAGGTATTTTGTGAATCAAAATTACTGGCTGATGAAAGTTGTACGAAACCACTTTGTCTGATGTGCATTTGGAAGAATAAGAAACTCTCAGAACTTCCATCAAATGTGCCACATTTTCTACGGAAGGTCGATCTTCAAATGGTAAAGTAAAGTTTCAAAATGGTATCAAATAAAAAGGGATTACAGTGATTTAGTCAAAGGATTGTCTGAATAAATGACACATCGGATAAATAGAATGGAGACGTGCGATTAAAAAATAAAATAAAATTTAAATTGTTATGAAACGTCGTTTGATTTTATTCCTAGTGAAATGGAGGTAAATTATTTATGACAAATATACCATGATACACGTTATTTTTTCCCATCTGAAAAAGTTTACTTGTTTACAATAAAATACAAAATATTTTGCTTTTTTAAAAGTGTTTTATATCACGAAAGAAATATAGATTATAGACATACCTTTGCAGGGCATCTAATACTGTGACTATAGATAAAGTTATTTCACAATGCATACCACCATCAGTAGGATAAATAGTAAGATAAAGTTATTGTAATGCTACACAGATTCAGCATGTTTTAATGATATAATGCTTCTAAAATAGAAAACAAACTTGCTTGTATGATAGATCATAATGTCTTTATATTATCATTTCGGATCACCGAGTCTGGTTTCCAAGTCAGGCTGACGATCGACAATCCGAATGAAGTCAGCCAATCTCCCACTTTTGAGCACGACTCGAAACTGTGCTCGTCAAATTTAGAAAATCAATAAGCTGTTTGAGGAGTCAATAAGCGTCGATATAGAAAACTATCACTTTCCAGATAGTAACTAACTGTTATTACTTCTAGATGGCCCTTTTGATCTCCTTTGAAGCTGAATTCATATAAAACATCCTGAAGGAGAATCATCTTTAATTCCACTTTGAAATATACATTGATGTTATTTTGGCTTTTACAAACAAGATATGAGAATAATATGCATCTCATTTGTCAAACGGGACCTGAAATTAAAGCACTACTTATTTTTCTTCATCAACTTCATATCTTATTTTTTTTTATATATTGCATTAAACAGATTGCCAAGTCAATGGCAGACGTGCTGACCTAAATGTTACACTCGTTAACATTGATTTTCTCATTAATCATTTGATTGGCGGTTCTATGGCCTCTATTTAAATAAGTTAAATATGTTAAGGATAAAACATGTGGACCACTAACATAACATGATGGTTGCAATCTGCGCTGATTGTATTTTAATGGTCGTTATTGAGACTTGAAAAACAAATATGGGATATCGGTGTTTGTCATTATCAATTGCTTATTCACTGCTGCTTAAATCGGTGGCGACTTACGGATTGTCATGGATTTATTCTGGAAGATAACCTGATGGAACTTGCATGTGTTGTAGGAAACCTTAACCATCGGAAACTTTTACCTTTGGAAACCCCTATTTTATAGTTTCAGTTGAATTGTTTTTAATTTAAATCCTGGTAGATTTCATCATTTAATTGTTTTCTAATTCTTAATTTGATTCTAATTTGCCAACAGAAAGACTTGCATGAAGCGCCTAAATGCAACTCCACCAAACAGATATGTCAACGGCACAAACATCACAAGGTTTGTATACTGATGATTTTTTTCTAATACGTATTTCTGTAATATTAATATTATTAATAAAAAAATACACTGAAGCGTTACATCATCAATAAGCGTTTCAAATATGTGAGATAAGAAAGAACTTTTCTATACCGGTTACGCTGCATATGCATAGTGCTTCATAATTAACGATGATAACCATGATAACATTTCTTCGTTACTTCATCATTTTGGTATAGGTGGTTTGTAAAGCTCCCTGTGGAGAAAAGTACTGTATCCGATGCTTTGAAGAATTGCTGCTGTCAAAGGTAACAGAGCAAGTCAGAGTTGCACATTTCAATACCGAATGCGTAGAATGCAGGACATGCACCGACGTCATTCCATTGGAAGTTCTCAAGACAACTATTGCAACGTTCGTAAGTATTATCACGTATTTAAAGCAGTTAGAGCTGAAAATTCATCAAAATTTTGAGAGAATGCACAACCTTTTCACAACACTATCAAAAATGAATATGTCCTAACTAGTTGGTCAACCATAGAAATTAAAAAAGACCCAATGAAAACAAAAATTCAAAGAGAAAATAACTACAACTAATAGTTTGAAACAATCAATAAAACTGGTTTAATGTTGCCAAAATTACAGGTACTCTAAACACAGTTAATATCTTTCATATTTAAAGCCATCGTACAAGTATGTTTTGTCCAGTTTCTGTCACATTATCTCACATTTTCAATCTTTGAACTTTTTTACCTGGTCGAGTGGGAGTGACCCCGTCCGCTATTTAGACGTACAGATAAACCTCGTAACTCATTTTTTTCATGCCGTGTTAACATGAACAACTACCATGTAAGATATTTCTCACCACTTTATTTTAGATTTTCGTTATAAATTCACTTGACCTTACGTACTCAAGATTATTTTTTTACCATAATAAGCCTCCGGTACTAGCTAACCGAGGGAATATACAATTACAACAATATATTTCATATAAGTAAATAGCTACTGTTTGTTTGTTTATGTATTTTCTATTGTATTATTGTTAAATGTTGATTGTTTATCTCTGTTTTATGATGTGATATGTATATTTTCATGTTCCTGTCTTGATAGAGGAGCAGATCGCCCTGACAATTTGACAAATTTCTTTGTCTGCACTATCGTTACTACTTCTTTGCCTATATCTCTTTTGAAGTAATACGCATCCAACCAACATTTGTTTGTTCGACTCCAATACCAATATTGGATCATACTGCCATTATTACTTATGATACATATATATAGATATATATCAATAGGTGGCTAAGTGAAAGTGGTGATTCACTTACATAAATATTTGTTTGACCATGTGATGACCCTGAATTTGCTTAGATATAATGACTGTTTATAGTCTATAATAAATAGTATTTTAGAATGCGTGTTAATTTTTGTACATAAGGGTTTGTAAGTTTACAGGTGTGTAATTGTCTTAATGTGTACAATGATATATATATATATGTTTTGCCTAGTGCAATGTTATTATTAGAATATAACACGTGAGTTTATATCTAGTGATCATTTCATTTTTACGGTGTCCTAACTACATGCTTGGCTTTATACAGTGTACATGTAGTATAAGATAATGCTGACCAGCGGTATTTTCTTTCATAGCAAAGATTAAATTTTCCGACCCTATTACACTTTAGTAGAATAACTACATTTACTATATACCTCTGTAACTGTAATTTCACCTTTCCAATTCAATCTGGAAATTTCCTTTCCTATGCCGTGATCTTATCTTTTTCGATCTTTAAATGTCTTCAAGCTAGGTTGTGATGCCATATTACAGAGTCGTCGAACTAGAATTCTAATCAGATCAAATCAATCAACATATCCTGTTATATATGAACCTTTAAAATTGGAAATGTGAAAGGCAACTGAAAGAGTCTGCTCCTCAAGGTCAATTCACCATTTAAAACATTTCTGTAAATATCTGCTTTTTATCACATTGAAACTTGATAGAACTTGACCAAACTTAACTTGAAGCAACCATCAACAAGAAGATGGGGAATCAAAATTGTACAAATCGAGGGGCTGACACCTTGAGGGGAGGGGGTAAAAGGGGGTAATTTGGCCATATAGCTTTAAGCGAGACTTCTTCTCTGGCTCTAAGTGATAAGAATAGATATCAACCATACTTGATTGTAAATATTCTCGTGTGGTCAGAATTCAAAATTGTACAAATGGACGGGCTGACCACTCGGTTGGTTGAGGGGAAGGGCGAATAAAAGAAAAGCGGGGTTACAAAACTGCACAAATGGAAGGGCTGACCAACCGGGGACTGAGCGGCAGGGCCAAAAAAGTAATTTGGCAATGCTTTAGGCAACTTCTTCTCTTGAATTAAGTGATGGGATGTTAACGACAATTGGTGCAGAGCATTCTTAGGTTGATGAGGACTAAAAATTATACCAGTTGAAGGGCTGACACCAAGGTCTGTGAGTATGGGTTGGAAAACAATTTTAAATTTGGACATTATTGAGATCCCCACCCTGTAACCATGTATACCATTGCTGAGTATACAGAGACGAATACAAATACAGTATGCTTTCGGGATGGCTCTCGGTCTGGTCCAACCCTTTGAGACTTAGACCCATGGTCAAAACTTTGAAACAGTGGGGCTACCCAACACCATAGCCATATATACAAATACTTGGCATCAAGAGACGAACACAATCATGATATTATAATTGATTCTGGGGTATGACCTTACCGCTACGGACGTTATTCCTGAGCTATAACCCTGGAAAAAAAATGTTATTAGAATTGACACTGGTGTCAAGCCCCACCCCAAGGTACTTAATAAGTGTATGTGCCACAACTTTGAGACGGTTACAATATCCACCCAATAACCATATATATCCTTGCTGGGCATCAAGAAACAAACAAATCCATGCTATTAGAATCGACCCTGGTGTCTAGTCCCACCCCTTTAGGACTCTGGGCTGTAAATTTAAAACGATTGAGATATCCACCCCATCACATAAACGTTTGATATGCATAAAAAGATAACCACAGTTATGATATTAGAATTGCTGCGGGGGCCCGGCCCTTTGCATAGGTACTTAATTAGACCATAGCTTTGAAACGGTTGAAAGCCAAAAACCTATAGGTATCGATCTAAGTGAGCGATACATGCCTCATGTGCATCTTGGTTAGTTTCATTTTTATACCAAAAGTGAATCATATCTTTTCTAACCTCTTACATGAATCACTTTTTGGTTTAATCAACAACATTATGGAAAACAATGTGCATCCATCGATGGTACTCTTAGGTGATGATACATAAGTCAAAGAAAGGACATTTCATGCGACATGTATCTGGGGCTTAGAGAGACTAGTGTATGGATGCCCGGCGATAACCTCGAAAAAACCCCACATATAATAATGCAATTATTTATTCAATAATTATATCATGTTATATAAATATACGCGGGAGCGTGTGTGGAAGCAAGACAACTTCTAACATTGAGGACACCTTGTTGTTGTAGCCTCAATCCTGCCACTCTCATTTCATTTCACTGCTGAGGAAAAACAAGATTTCACATAAAACAAATTAAAGAAATATATTTAAAATCGAAATCGATGAAAAAACATGTATATCCGTCATTACATTTATAAGAAAACAATCCATGTTTTGTCAGCTGTGTTTTGTTATATATTGCAGATTGAAGGGGACAACGTTGAGATAAAAATCACTGAAAAATGCAAATGTTCTGACCCAAAGGTTTGTTTATGCATGTAACACTACTAGAAAGAAAAATATTAATTCATTATTTATAATTTGGAGAAAGCGGATGCCTTTAGCTATCATTTTTTTAAAAAGGAAATCCTCAAGCACACTTGGAAGATATTGCATGAAATTGTTGTGCACATGTCAAAACAACAAAAAATACCTAAAATAACATATTTTGTTAAATTGACCTTTTTCAAAAAATGCATAAAAGAAAAAAAGCTTAAAACAGGATTTGTTTTTTACTTTTTATCAATGTATTAAATGAATTCTCCATGCTTCATGTAGTTCTTACAGTGTTTATATGTAAATGACACAGAGTAAATAGTTATGCTAAAATAAAGTAAATTAGATATAGATGAATATAAAAATTGGTCAAAAATCGACCTTTTCATACAAAAAAGAATAATTCGGATGTTGTAGTATTCCCATAATAAAATACGAAATGTACAAATGATGTGAATTATATGATCAGGCCAGAAGCTACCCTATATAAAGTATCCCAACAAATATGCTCTTGACCTACTTTTATGATCACAGGGGTCAGGGGTGTGTTAAAATCTTCAAACAAATATTTGCAGAAACTATAACGTCTCGAACCAAAATATTTGGAAAGGAAAGAAACATTTTTATGCACACATTTCTTTAGTAAGTTGCGTTGAAGGTTAAAGTAATAAATTGAAAATACATCACTTGAAATAGATTGTGACAAAAAATGGCTCTAAGGGTGCCTTCATGGAAAATTCACAATGCCTACACTTCACTTTGAAAAATTGAGACTGAAGCGTTTTACACATAATTCTTTCTAATATGTCAATAAAGCATCATCTTTTCTACACTTAATATCTTGAATAGACTTTAGCAAAATATCGATTTTTCTGAAGTAATATCTGATTACCAGATAACGGTTTTACTCATTACACAATAAAAATCAAAGAGAGATTATTGTCAACATGTATGTTAACGTCTTAGCGACAGATATTTGTTTATAAGATTAAATAAGGTGCAATGATCTATAGAGATGCTATAACTTTAAGACAACTTTTATTGTTGCTTAGTTGACAATTCTTGCTTTAGAGTTTGAAATATTGGTATTTGTATAGAATTTGTCTATATATACAATTACTTATTGGAATATTTCAATCATGCAAAGTTCAGTTTTGATCACAGTCTTGTATGCATATTAATTAATTTACTTTATTTCAAGAATGTATATCAGAAACATACAAAAGCTGATATTTAACATTGTAACGCAAGGTAGTTGAGAAAACCGGCAGCATGACAAACAACACATGCATTGATTTTGGTGGTCATCGGTCAACTTTTTCTTTTCTTTTTTTCTTCTATGATTGCATTTTTATATCAATCATTTGCAACACAATTGCTATATTCAGTTAACACAATATCTTAACCTCCTCAGGAAGCTGCTAGTTTACCATGTGGAGCTACGTTGTGCAAAAACTGCTTTGAAAAACCCCAATGTACTGAAACATTAAATGTTTTGGGCAACAAATGTGTATTGTGCCCCGACCGCAACTGCAATGACGTGATTCCTATCCAAACACTAGAGTCTCATTTCAGTAAAAGAGAGCAGGTAGGAATTAACATATCTTGTCTTAATGTGTAAGTTACATAGCAATGGTAAGTAATGAACAAAATTACAAACATATATGTTTAACTCTTACAACATGTTAAAAAATACTTTACTATATATTGATTTTTGCGTGTAAGTCAGTGGTTTGAGAATTACTGTTACCTACTTGAAATAGTATCGTGGAATCGTTATTAATCCGTAAGAATGAATAAAAAGTATATTACGCCAAGATGAATTAACAAAGCAATCAAACACTGAAATAAACCTTTTTTTCTGAAAATGAGAACGAAACAGGTTACTTCTACTGATGTGTTCCATTTGCTTTACACACTGATGAATTAAATCATCAAGTTCTATTTTCCATTTTATGCAAACGTTATATTTTCATTCGAAGGAACTCATTCCCAAATATCGTAGCTGGAATCCATCGAAGTGGTGCCGGACACATCAGCATCACAAGGTAAGCATATATAAATCCATTTGATTTAGACATATTCCCGATATTAAGTTGATTGACGCATAGTAAAGTTGGGTTTGGTAGTGTGTCAGCCTATAATGACTGTCTGGTCATAGGTTCGATCCTTGCAAGCTGATGGATAATGTTGTGTACTTGAACCTGCTCACTCAAACTGCATAGAGTTGAGCAAAATATGGTCTGGTTCAGTAACATAGTTTCTGTGCTGTAGTATTTGACACTATAAATACTGGCTCATAACAAGCAGAACAATGCGTACAAACTGTGCACGGCTGCTCAACCCGAGTATGCTGTCTCTACTAATTATATAGTTTAAATGAAACTTATTTTCTAAATAATCATGTTATTCTACTTCATTTTTTGAACACGTTTAATATATGCTAACCGTATCTTCAGGATTTGTAAAATTAGTTTGACATATCTTGATTTGGGTATGAAACATTCATCTGCAAAAATTATTGAACATGCAAACTCGTTTGCGTTTTAGATTTGCATCACAGACGATAAAGATGCATCGCTTTGTAAACTATGCCTCGTATCAATTTTGAAAATATCTGCCGTGAAATATATAATATTGGACGGGGAAAAAACACCAGCGGATGCTATCAATACATTGATTAAGGATATATCCGAAATTGTAAGTATACGAACAATATAAAGATGTTTTTGGCTCACTATATATTCATACAGAAATTCAAATGAGGACAAAAACACTTGATCTGATATGATCTATTATCAACAAACAAAGTTCAAAAATACAAGTGTTCCACCTCCTTGAAGTCGTCATCAAATCGAGAAATCCTTCTGATTCTAAGAGATGACCATCTTGCTAGTTCCATGACCTCTGAGGTTGCAGTATGATATTTGGCATAAAAAGTCTAGAAGGCACGTATCTATTAATTCAAATTATTTAATAAAAGTTACGTTCATATTTACACATATTCATTGATATGTTCTGTTAAGGAAATGTTTCTGGAACCGGATTGGAAAAACATCCCCTGCAGCTGTAAATTATCAGTAAGTGATTTACTATTCGATATAAAAAAAAAGAGCATTTCATTAGACCTAAAAGGCAATGAAATCATCTTTATTTTGACCCTCCGTCTAATGGTTGGTTGATTGATTGATTGGTTTTACGACCGCTTCACTACCAAGCAGTTCGGTTATCCAGCAGACGAAGAATAATGGTTGGCTTTGCTTGTTAGTAAATAACAAAACAGTTGTTGTATGCCTCACCAGTCCTATTCAAAACCATTCCCAAGAAGTAAGGACACACAAGCTGAACTGTTTAATTTGGTTTGTCCAAACCAAAAAAGAATATTTTAACTTTTGACAGATAAGGCATGAAACTCTTTCACAATTCCTACTGTTCCCTTTATAATATGCTACTCGATTCAAGGTATTAAATTAACTGCATAAACGTTTTGTGAGTCTTTAAATATGGCCATCATGTAGACTTAGTCTTAGTGGCAGTAGACAAACACCCTGCATGCATCGCGCGTGAAAAGTCAAACAGTTGAAGGGTAGCAAACACCAGTTTATCATGTGACTACACAAACAGTCGTTGGGCAGCAAAAATAAGCGAGGCGAGATACGTTTAGTAATTTTAAGAATAAAATTCGCAAAACTGCTTAATATACTATTTTTATGAAGAGTCAGGTAGCAAAAGATTATGCAACCGTCTCTTACGTTTATAACGGCATGGACATCGTAATGATGTTTGAAATACGTAGTTACCACTATTTTTTAAGTTAGTTTTTGTAGTAAAAAATGTTTATTTGAATATCGATGTCATACAATTGCATTGAAAAAGGAGTTGATTTTTTTCATAGCCTGCACATTTTCGGCTCCCCTGTGGTTTGTACATGTGTGACCGATGCCTCTTTTCCCTTGGACAAAATAATAAAGAAAATGAGGTAGATTGTCCAAAGTGCAGAGAAAAGATACCACATGCATATCTACAACATAAAATGGAAAATGTGAGTATCCTTTATTAATTTCTCAATGTCTGTAGTCTAATAAATCAATTATCACATGCATTATTTCGATGTATGTACATTATTGTAATAAAAGGACTCCAGCGCAGATTTACCATCCGAATATTTGGATCTCTCATTCAAACATCAGATGTCAAGTACCATTTACTTTACCTATTCATTGCATGTAAAGATTTTAGTTTAAAAATTACTACTTCTCGTGATAAATGACATAAACAACTTGATATTTCATTCGCTGTTATTGTCATATTAGCAGTGTCATTTCGGGTACAAATTTGGTGTATGTTTTGTCTAATTCAATTGCTTTACACATTTTCTTCAGACTGATGCTTCAGCACTTTCACATCCTGGCATTGAGCATGGCAAACATTGCAAAAGACATAAGCACTGGAAGGTTTGATACAGGCTCTGCTTTTACTAGATTAAGTTATATATTGCTTTAAAGAATATGTTTAAACCATTTATTATTTTCACTATTTTGACTTTCTATATTGAAATAAACCCGAAGAGTCATGAGAAGGATGAAAGCTGCTCGTCTTTAATCCTATATATGTTGGTCATTATATCTTATTTTACTTTAATCTTTCTAATAATAATAATATATAAGTAGATATATATTAGAATATTTTATAAAATGGCTTTCTCTAAGCTTAATTTCAATAATCGTTGAACATTCATTTTCGTAACAGAATTATGCATCAATACATTTCCAGATATTGGTATGAAGTGATGTCATTTTTTAGGCGTGTTTGCAGTCAGATTCAAAACAGCCATATTGCCTGATGTGTATTGATTTCAACCGCATGAAAAAGGGACCTTCAATTTTGACAATTGAAAACAACAAAAACATTGAAAAGGTAGGCTGCATTGCATAAACGCGTTTACTGCGGGACAATTAAAAAACTAAACAAAAAATGATAAGATTTCATATACTTAAGATATTATATATGTAATTATCTGCTGTTGATATTGGTAAATAAACTATATAGCTAATGGATTATGACTTATAAACTGATGTCGGTATATAACTTTTGCTCATTACTTAAACATTCTGTCATTTCCTATGTTAACTCATGTGACCTTGGCACTTGAATCTCAAATGTAAGTTCAATTTTATGTATACATTTTTCCCCCTTGAGTAAATGTTAAGGAAGGGAGATAATTTTGAACTAGTGCTATTTTAAGGTGTTACAGTATGATTGGTTTCAGGTGTGGTCAAATAAAAGGAAAAATTTTGCAACATAACTGTAAGGTATACTAAACAAATTGTCAACTAAGTATAGTGGAGATGAACAAAATCTGTATGACGAGGACTTACTTGTATGTATAACAATATGCCAAAACGTATATTTTATTTGTGTATTTTCTTTTTTAAATGTTTCTTCTCTCTTTCCTTTTTTCTGTTGTCTGATTTGTCATGTAGAGTCAAGTATTTGGCAAAGAGTGGAAGGAGAAATCTGGAAATATAATTACTGTCTTTCCATTATTTTGTTTTTACCTGATTATAAAAATAACA